TGCTTGAACAGATGAAATAGTGTTTGTCTATTTCTAATCTCTGCTTGACAAAACAGAGCTTTTCTAGCTATGAATGTAAATGCTTGAGTTGAACTTTTGCTTTTTGTTGGCAAAGAAGTTCTTTCTTGCTTCCTATGTTTTTTGCAGACTTGAAAAGGTCTCAGTAACCAAAATCACACTATCATGGAGATCTCGTTAAAAAGGACTAGAAGAGATCCTCAGAATTCAGTTACATTTTTCATTTTCTCTGAAAGTCTCTGATTGTAATTCCTCCCCAGCACTTGTCCAGCTGTCTGATGTGCCAGAGGCAGAATTTAGCAGGGATTATTAAAATAACTGTAAGATTTCTATAGCGCATGGGGGTTGCAGATAGATAAAATCATGCTGGAAGTGGGAGGCCTGGAGTAACGTGCCAGTTTTGACAGCCTGGCAGATAGCTGCTGAATGCTGTGCAGTGCCAACTGACAAAGCAGCCCTGATCTCCCTTGCCATCTCTCCCAGGCACTGACAGCAGCTTCCCAGGGACTTCTGAACTGCATTGTGTACGGCTGGACACAGCACGTCTTCCTCTCCCTCAAACGCAACATCTGCCGTGACGTTGACACTCAGACTCCTCTCCTGCGCTCTCAGAAGAAATTCTATGCCAGCACACTCCCTGCCAGCCCTCCGGACACTGAGGTGTCCACATCTACCCTGCTCTGATGAGTTCCTGCAGCAAAAATGAGAGTAGGCAGCATCCCAATGGGCCTCGTCGTATTTTAGCAATGTCAGCCAGCACAGCAGTTGGGCTGTCTTGGTGTGAACTGTTTTGTCATCAGCACAGTTAACTGAAGTGCTACGAGAGCCCAAGCAGATCTGTCAGAAAAGCACTTTTAGTGAAGATAGTTATTTATTTTACAGATTTCTATGGACTTGAAAGGGATTCTTTAAACCTGGTAAATTTTTAGCACAGGCTTTCTCCTTACGGAAATATCTCTAGAAATACAACAAATTATATGTAACAACTCCAAGAATAGTACAGCTCCTTAGAGGTCATGTGGTCAAAGTATGTTTTACTTTTCTAAGTGTTTGTCAGGTATTTGCCATTACAAGTTAACATTAAAGCAAAGATGAATATTTTTAAATCCATTTTTCAATTCAATGTAAAAACTAGAGCTTGCACCCTCCTAGCCAGCTGCATGGAGCAAGACTGCAGAGTTGGACTGGATGATCTTAGAGGCATTTTCCAACCTTGGTGACTCAATCATCAGCACACACTTCCATGCTTTGACTTTTCTCACATCTCCCTTCATGCCAACTCCTGCTTGGCCACAACACTCAGAAAATTAAGGTTCTTCAACCCAGCGATGCACCTCTTATGAACCTGGAAAGCAGGACTGCATGTGAATCTGTGTGTGCTCCTCTAAATGCTCAAGTGAATTACTGAGGTCCCATAAATGTATCTTTAGCTGCACTGAGAGGAAAATAACCCTATATTTTTCATGCTCTTTAATTTCTCATAGTTTCGTTTTTAAGGCCCAACCCAAATTTATTTACATAGTTGGTTATACAAGAAGAGGAAATACTCAAGTTTTGTGTAATTAACTTTTATACAGTTTACACAGTTACATTACATAAATCACTTTGTACAATTCTGGGACTGTCAGTCTGGCTTCAGGGATGTACCCACAGAGCCCCTCAGTCCTTCCCAAAGCTCAGCTGATGAGTTTCCCAGTGCTTTCAGGTTTTTTAAACTACTTCTTCATCTTCTTCCATATTCTGCTCCTCATTTTCAGGAGTCTCAGGTGTCTCTATAGATGAATTTGTACTGAAAAGTGTAATAATTGCATTGATGTATTTGATTGCAACAATGAGGAGAGCAATTAGAACGAGGGCAACGAGAACAGTGATTCCTATTGCAGTCCCAAAAGCTTTATCTTGGACAGCCTCTGCAATGGAGATCATGAGAGCTGGTGGGGGGCCGCTGTCCATGCTGCCCCCGAGGCCATGGAACTGGCAGTCAGGTGGGGCCCAGCCAGCTTTGCAGTGGCAGTGTTCAAGGTTATTGCAAACCCCATTCCCCCTGCACAAAACCTTTGCATCACACTTGGTTCTGATGGTGACATCTGTGCATGTCTTGTTAATGCAGATCTTCTTTGGACCGCATTTGGTGCCGTCAGTTCCTCCTCCGATATCAGGTGTATCTATGCTAGCATGGTGGGCTGTGCCCCAGCACCAATCCTCAGGCCCTGGAGTCTGAATGATGGTTTCAGACTTCTCCAGAAAGGCTGTCTTCTTTACATTCACACACTGCAGCCTTCCACACAGAGCATTTTGGGGCTTACATTCCACAAAAGCAACTTCATTTCCATCGCCACCACAGTTGCCAAATCGATCCCCTTTCATGTTCTGCTCTTTGAAGCAACTTTCTGGAGCACCCCGAGCTTCATCCCCAAAGACTTTTCTGCATAGTTTGTCATGGGACGCACATTTCCCACGGTAGCAGTAACCATTGTCGCTGCAGGGTGTCCCATCCTGCATGTGCAAATCCTTTGGACACCACTCGGAAGTCCCATCGCAATACTCAGGCAAGTCACACTCATCTACCTCTGACCTGCACTTATGCCCTGAAGGGTGAAAGTGGCACTTCTGACAGCACTGCCCAACAGAGCAGACAGCCCCCGGCTTGAACCTGCAATTATGGAAGCAGCAGGGATTGCCTTGGCACTGCTGCAGCCCCCCGCAGTCACACTGCTCTCCCTCGTCTATCACCTTGTTGCCACAGGTCTTAAAGTAGAACAATCTGTTGGGCTCGGGGATGTTGTTTAAGCAGTTGCCGTCCCCTCTGTTGAGCAGGTCTAAATAGCTTTGAATGCTGCAGTTGCTGAAAGCTGTGGCACCGTCGATTGAACCTCCCGTCATGTAGCACTTGGCATTTCCACACCCACACTCCTTTCTATCGTGCTCCATCCCCAAGTTGTGACCCAGCTCATGTGTAAAAATAGTTGCAAAGATCTCAAAATCTTCTCGTATGTGAGATACAAGACCTGACTGGTAGCCGGGGTAGCAGATGCTGCCTACGTACGCCAGCCCAACAGTGAGTCCAAAGTCTGTGTAAGTGAATAGATGTGCAATGTCGTATTTTATCCTACGGGAAAGATACCTATTTCCCCAGTCATTAAAATTGGTAAGAACTTCTTCTATATCTGGGCTGTACCTGATGAAGTTGCCACGCGTCCAGATCTCCAGCCCAATTAGGCAGATGCGGATCTTCAGAGGGTAATAATGTATTTCTGATAAATTGATCGTATCTATAACCAGAAACATCACTGAGGTTTCATTGCTCCCTTGGAAGGAAAACAGCTGGTGGTCCACCACAACAAATATCTCCACGTACCTGGTGTGCTGCAGCCACTGATCCAAGCCTTGCTTCCCTAAGGGTTTTTTTGCCCCCATCCAGCTTGGTTGCTTTCGCATTGCTATGTCAGTCAAGCCACACACTGAGGACTTGTCCCCACTCTTCTCTCGTCGATAGAGGAGGTGCTGGAAGGTCAGAGAGCCCGGCACAGGCTCGATGCCATAGCTCAGGTTCCCGATCCTCAGCTGTCCCCTCAGCCCCGCGCAGGTGCTCAGCGCTGCCATGGAGCCGGGGCTGCCCTCCACGTAGCCCAGGTGGTGGCAGCCCTCAGGGACGTGGGGCTGCTCCACCACCCTCATCCCACGGGGGCTGTAGGTGATGAGCGGGAGGTTGTTCACCACCAGCCCTCGCGTCCGCATGAGGCGGACGATGCGATTTTCACCCTCTACCCTGATGACGTAGGACAGCTCTCCCTGTGCTGACCTGCCTGCTGCCAGGACCAGTTTCCTCGGCCGGATGATCTCATGGACGGCGTAACCAGGCGGCGGGTGATGGCCGCCCACCTCAGGGAGGAGAAGAGCCCCCAGCACCACCCAGACCCACAGCCTGAGGAGCAGTGCTGTCCTGGGGGCCTGGAGCCATCTCACCACCTTCAAAATGGAGGTGAAGCACCTCACAAAGGCCACCTCTGGCACAAGCATCTCCATCTCCTCACCCTTAAGGCTCTCAGAGATGGCGCCCGGCTGCTCCCTTAAGAAGGTTCCGGAAAGGCCGCATCTCTCCCGGCCGCCATGTTGTGATGTGGCAGCCTGCTCCCACAGCACTGCTCTCTAATGGCCCCTCCAACCTGAGACGTTCTGTGCCCAATTCATTGCCTCGGCTCCTTTGCCAGTCTGTAAACTGTGGTCTCCAGCCCTCTTTATCACACAGCCCTAGCGGTACAGGTTTCCTGAGAGTTCCTTCCCAACATACGCATATTTATTTATTTGTAAATTGTGTGCTTGCTCTGCTGTACTTCTAAAACACCCCGCGTTGGAGACCCATGCTGCAAACAGCACCCCCAGGGCACAGGTTGGTGTGACCCCTGCACAACCAGCCCGTGCTTTTCATACCCAGGTGTATGGGAACTGCTGAGTCCTGGCCTGAAGCACTGATTGAGCACCTGGGGAAAGGACCTGGTCAGGCCTGGGAGCACAGGTGGAGGCAATTCAGCTGTGTGACCTGAATGGGTGAGCCTGATTGCACCTCTCTCAGACCTCATTTAAGGGCTGACTGCTGCTGGGGAAGGATCTCTTTCTGGACATCTCTCCCCTATGAGCCTATGTTGTCAAAGATGGGTGAGCAGTCATTTTTTCCTTCCCTTATAAGACCTTTCTATTGTGTTTGTCCCTCTGTCATCACACATCTTGTATCGCCTTTCCATTGTGTTGATCTTTCTGGTTGTTACACACTGGTACAAGCAAAAGATTCTGCCTCAGCCACCCTGGGCTCCTCACTGCTCCATGTGTCACTCACAGCAATGACTGCCTGTGCAAACCATCAGGATTTCAAATGAACCTGAGCCCCTCTGTCATTTTAGTAATCTTTTTGTTTTTTCTTATTTAGGTCTATCAAAACAACTTCATTTTGCTATCCTACAGAAAAGAAACTGAGCTTTCCAAACTGCACACGTATATAGAATCAGTTTTAAATGAGTCCACTGCAGCTGTGTCAGGAGTTAGTGACTGAGCCCAGCTGCTGCTGATCAAGTTCTATACAGAGGAGTTTTGACTCTCAGCTGATTTGGATTCATTTTCTTCCTTCTCAGGACTCCTCTCCCTGGACTGACCCTGTCCAGCAAGTCTGCTCAACAGTCGGGTTCCTATAAGCTTTCTGATGTATTCAATGGCAAGTGCTGCAAGTATCAGAACAGTGCCAATCAGTATGGTAATCCTGACAATGGACTTAAAAAGCCCTTTTCTTGTGACTGGTGTAGGCCCACTGTCGATGCTTCCTCCAAAGCCAGCATACTGGCAGAAGGGAGGTGCCCAGCCATTGTCACAGTGACAGTTTCCTTTAGTGTTGCAAATGCCTCTTCCTCTGCAGGTTGTGCTGGCAGAGCAGTGGGACGCCAGGTACTTCTCCTCAGGGACGCATGTCCGATTGATGCAGATCTTATTCTTGCCGCACTGTGTGCCATCCTCAATGACTCCAGCATCTGAGGTGTCCAGACCCGCGTGGTGCTCTGTGCCCCAGCACCAGGTATCTCCCACTGGGGTTTGGATGATGGTTGAGTGATCTGCCTGAGGCAGGTGTCTAACATTAGTGCACTGCACCCTCCCACAAAGAACATTTTCTAACTTACATTTCTGAAATTCGGTATCTGTGCCATCTCCCCAGCAGTTGCCAAACCGATCCCCTTTTGTGTTCAGCTCCTTGAAACATTGTAGTGGAGCAGGTTGTGCTTTCTCACCAAAGATGTCCTGACACTGTAATGTGTGAGATCTGCATTTGCCTGAATAGCAGTATCCATCTGCAGCACACGTGGTTCCGTCCTGCTTGGCCACATCCTCTGGGCAATGCTCAGATGTCCCGTTGCAGTACTCGGGCAGATCGCATGGATTGATGCTCTTCCTACACACTTCTCCTTCTGGAAGAAGCTTGCAATCCTTGCAGCACTGTCCAGAAGTGCAGATGGCTCCTTCCTTCTTTCGACAGGTATTGTCACAACAAGGGTCTGACTTACACTGCTCTTCAGAGCCACAGTCACACTCCTCCCTGTCCTCCAGGATACCGTTCCCGCAGCGCTGCGGCATGAATCTCACTATAGATGATGGGATGTTATTCAGACATTTTCCTTGCCCTGATGTTATAAAATTAAAATAGTACTTTGTGCTGCAGTTGCTGAATCCATAGCTCACTGTGCTCTTTGGGCTCATGATGCATTTAGAGGCATTTCCACACCTGCAGTGTTCATCATCGTGCTCCATGCCAAGGATGTATCCTAACTCGTGAGCGACATGGACTGCAGTGTCAATGTAAGTCTGTTTTGCAAATGATACAACAGCAGAGGAGCGTTGTCTATCGCATGCACTGGCAAAGTTTGATTCACCACCCATGTGCAATGCTCTTGTACTCTGACTGAAGTCCAGCGAGGCAAACAGACACCCCACATCATGCATGATGTGTGCAGGGCTATGCTGAATCCGCCAGCGATTGAAGCTGTGAAGGACCTGAGTTATGTTTTTGGTGATACTGATAGGGTTCTTCTCTGTCCAGATCTCCAGTACTGTTAATAACACGCGAAGGCGGACAGAAGAAAACAGTCCATCCACCAGATTGATTATTTCAATAACCTCTAGTGTGACATCTGTTATACTTGTGCCAAAGGAGTCAAACCCCTCCTTGTCCACCACCACCATGAGCTCCAAGTACCGTGTCTGTCCCCAGGGCTGGAACTGCCTGGGTGCTGTCCCACGACCTGGAAATCGCCTGCCTCCTTGGAGTGTTTTGTAGATCACAGTCCCAGGAACCGCCGCCTCCCTCTGCAGCAGAAGGTGCTCAAATGTGGAGGAAGCTGCCAGGGGCTCGATGCTGTAGCTCAAGTTTCCAATCTGCAGCAATCCTCTGAGCCCAGAGCAGGTGGTCAGAGTCACCGTGGAGTCCAGGATTCCTTCCACATAGCCGTGGTAATAGCAATCTGCCAGCACACGGGGCTGCTCGATCATCACCTGCCCTTCGGAGTCACGAGTGAGTATAGGGAGGTTTTTTATTACAAAGTCTTTCTTCTGCCTGAGGTGAATGGTGTAATTCACACCCTGAATGCTGATGAGGTAGGACATACTGCCCTGGCTGGCTCTGCCTGCTTTAGAGCCAGCTTTCTTTGGAGTTATTATCTCATAGGCTGTATAGCCCCAGGTGGGCTGGGGGCTGCAGTCTGCACACAGCAGCAGGAGTCCCACAAGGAGGAAGGATAAGCCCAGTACAATAAGAACCCCACTGCCCATTGGGACACACCTTGGCACAAGCCCTGGTTGTGTCCAGTTTGAAGCCATGGTTGTCAACTGGAATGAAGGGCCCAGGGAGTGTCCGTTTGTCTGGCTCCTATTTGAATGCAAACATTCCATGGGGAGTACAGGCAACGGCACAGGTAGGAGCAGCACCCCATTAGATACACCCCAAATATTGCATCCTGCTGGGGCTGACCCTGTTTGCTGAGAGTGAGATGAGCCAGTGCTGCTGTGGCAATTTGTTTAAAAGGGGATTAAGCATTCATCAGTGGAAAGGAATAGCAGATTACCAGGAAAACAATGAGGATTTGGTAGCTAATGGGTTCAGCTGCAGGGTGAGAGCCTGTGGTGCATGCTGACAGATATCTTTGCAGGGCACATCACTAAATGTTTTAATTGTTTTTTTGCTGGAAAGGGAGAGGCATACTTTGGGTCATGTACTCTTCTATATGTAGAAGACAGTCTCACTTTCACAGAACTCTTGCAGCTGGTTTGGCTGCTTTAAATATTCCTGGAATATTTGGGAATTGTTCTCTTGCTCCCCTCCCACCAGCCTGAACCAGGGTCCACCAGTTTCTCCCTTCCTGGGTTCCCATCAGCTGCCAGCCCTGCCAGATGTGCCTGCACTGCTTCACCTGCAGTAAGGCAGTGCATTGCTCCTGCCCCAGGGAATGCTTTTGTCAGAATGCAGCTGTTAGACTTCAACAGGGGGGAAATGTCAAGAAGCACCAAGTGCTACTGCAGCAGCACAGAATAATTCATCCCTCCCTTCCCTGGAAGCTGTAGCTACCAGAAAAAAAATCCGGTTCCCCCAACGGGGTTAACCCGCAGCACGGCGGATGTCCTGCTGCCACCTGATGGCAGGCAGTGGTTAAAGCTTTTCAGAAGACGTGAATTCATAGGCTGGGTAAAACCCTGTCTTCTCGTTCTTTCATCTCAGTGATACAAAACCAAAGCTGCACAGCACTGCTATTAGGGCTGAGGGGACGTGGGGAAGCTCAGGGTGGCACTAGGAGCAGGTGATCCCTCCCCCAATCCTCTCCCTTCAGTGCCAAAGGGACTTGGGGACCAAACAAAAGAGGCCACTAATAAGTTTAGTAAAATCATTTATATACACTGATGCGTAATATTTACAATATAATACTGATCAGAAATAAACTAACATGTTACAGGTAACACTGAAAAGGAGAAATGCAAATGTTTTCGTACACAGGAGTTGAATGTGGCAGATGAGGACAGATTCAGGTTTCTATAAGAAAAATGTGAAAGTGTGACAGCAAAACTTTGACATGTTGCTATTTCCAATCTTTCTCTAGTCAAGTTCTTCTAACCTTTTAATATATATACCTTAAATAATCAAGTCACAGGAGAAGTCAGATATACATAAAGTTTTGAAAAATTCAAATGATTTGAGACTTTTCTCTTAAATAAAATTCTAGGAAAACAAACAAACCAACCAACCCAACAACACAGCTTCCCCATTTCCTTTTAGTGTTTTTACAAAGAATGTCATCTTTGTTCCCACACAACCCTTCCATCTCAAGATATTTACAATATTCACAGTCTGCTGTAAAGCATCAGTAGATTGTTACCACTAAAAGGCTACACAATCAAATAAGGTATCCTGCATTCATGTCAACTGAACAGAAACACAAAAGAGAAAATAAAATATCACTATAAAATACGCAAATGAGATCAATTCAAGTGTATTTGATTTTGAAATCTAAAACGTAACTTTTTCAAAAGCTAAAGAATCAGTTTTGCCAGAAGTAAAACTATTTGACCTTGAATTTTCCTAATCTGTCCCTCCCTGCCTCCATTTTAGATCAGACCACTCTCAGTTCTCACAGATACTAAAATCAATAGCAAACCCATAAAAAAAGCAGTTCCTCATCACCAAAGCCCTTAGAAAATGTGACTTCCCTTCAGACACCAAAACACAATCACAGGTGCATCTACTCCCCTATTGGTAACTGCTCTTGGTAGCACAAAACAGGCTGAAGCAATCCCTACAAGCATCAGTGCACAAGCCTTGCTGTCTTTAGCACCAGATCAATCTGTCAAAGAACAATCCTGTCCTAATGTTATACTCCCATATATGCTTCCAAGCTGCTTGGAGCTGATCAGGCTGTGGCATGGCATAGCTACAAACTGATCCATGTTTCTGGCTTGCAAGTTCTGGTTCCCAACAAAGTGCCAGAATGTTTTCCTTCTCAGAGGGCAGGGTTGCAAAGTGCTTTTGTGGGGAATTTTCTGGCTCCTATTCAAACTCTGTTGATTTCCTTGTTTATTTATTTGCCATACTTAAAAAGTTCCCACACAATGAGATATCTCCCCCCAAAAAAGACAAATTTCAAGTTATAAAGGAAATATCTATAAATTTCAAGACTGTGCGGATGTTGGCATGGTCTGGTATTTAGGACTAGGACAGAAATGCATATATGGCCTACAAACTTGCTGATGCAAGATCAAGAAATGACAAATACTCATCTCCTGCCAATTCCCTACAGTTGTCATTGATGCATGTCAGTACACAAATATTCCATGTAGTGTCAGAAGTACAATTCTGGCTTATGCCAAAACTCCCCGATTCCATCAGAAAAAGTGATGGTTAGCTAGGGACTGTGGTTCTCAATCTGCAGTAAATCAGGCATTGGAAAACTGTCAACAGGATTAAAAGAAAGCTGATAAGGTGCTGATGAAGAATGGGAAATGAAATATCTCCTTCATGTAGAAAAACTGAGTTACCGCTTACAAAATTGTATAGAAAGAGTCAGACAGTGGTTTGCCATCCAAGCTAAAGGTTACAAGGAAGTCTGTTATAGAAAAGAGACAAAAAAGGAGGCTGGACTGCCATAAGAGGAAACTGGGAGATTCATGGCTCAAGTTGGTAAATGTAAACCCAAAATTAATGAGCTATGAAATATAACAATAATGATCAAGAGTCAATACTAATAGCCCTGAATTGGCACTTCAGTCTGCAGACCAAACTCATTCAACGTCTGCACATGTTTGGTACCAAAATATCTCTATAAAAAGCCTTCGACCAGTCTCAAAGAAAGAAAAGTGTCAGCAGGTAGAAAACTAGAAATATGTACAGAATCTTTTCATTTGTCTGTTTCGTTTAAAATAAAAAAGCAGCTTTTGGAGCCAATGTTCCAAACTAGTGTAAGAATCTGCCCTCGTGGTCCAGGCAGCGTAAGGACGTGTCAAGGAGCAGCCCTGCATCTGTGGCTCCACCAGGAGGAGCTCGAAGGCCTCAAAGAGATGGGGAGCTTGGACTCCAGAGGGTGACACAAGAAAAGGATCACTGTGGATTCACACAGCAGTACTAGGAACCTTGCCACGATGATCTCTTTCAAACAAGAGGATAAGTCTGAAACAAAGTGTTGGATCTTCTAGAGAGGAAAGAATAGGGTGCAACACACACAGCTTCTGATCTGGAGATGAAACATATGGACCCCATACTTACTGTTGTCTGTAGAAGATCCCATCAGGAAAATAAAAACAGCTTGTACGTAAGTAACTAGAACATTCTTTGATTCTGCTGTTGAAGAGTATGATACAAAGAGGAGCCTTTTGCTGAACGGCCATTAGGAAGTTCTGAGGAAGATGGGTTACAAGGGAAAGAAAGGCAGCTACTGATCAGAACTGAAAAACACAGCATATGGACTAGCATATGGACTCAGGTGCCCTTGGCAAGGCCAAGCGTGGCTCTGGGGTCATCTAGCAGAACAGAAGGCTATTTTGTTGCCTCTACATACTCAGAATTTAGGTGCAAAAGGTAGCTATGAAGTTTGTATTTCACAGCACTTGCTTCAAGTACTTACTGAGCAGGGTGTTGAGAAACTGGCTGTCTTTTTCATATATATAGTCACTGCAGCTGGCTGTATGTATAGCAGATGGAAGGCAGCTTCTGCAACTGGTTATTAAGAAAAAGAATGGTTTTTAACAATATAATTTGCCCCATTTGGGGGACTTACAATTAACAGTACGTAAGTGATCATATATACCTCAAGGAACTGAGTTTTAAAAAAATATTACAGTACCAATGATTTTTTTTGTATCTACAACTATACAGCATTTTCAAGCAGTATGGAAATTTAATGAAATAATTATGATTTATTAATTTACATAAAAATACTTTTTACAGTTAAAGAATAAATCTTAAATGGTAAAAAAAAAATATAAGATTAAGAAGCTCCAGCTATTGAGAGTCATGGGAGTTTGTCTGCTCTTCAATAACTTGCTTTACTATTTCTGCCAGTTTTAGTCGATCCACTTTATCAGTAAATCCTCTGCCTGAAAGGAAAAGAACAGGTAGTCAGCAGGTGTTGGGCACAAGGAGGAAAGTCATTACTGCTGGCATCGTACACTGGTTGGAGACAAAGCACATTTAGGGCAGCATTTGCAGGGCCAGCAAAATAAGTTAAGATCTCTGGCTCTGCTTAAAACGAAAAAAAAAAAAATATTAAGGAAGAGACATGGCCAAGCCTTGTGAACCTGGCTGACACTATGCTCTGTTATGTCAAGGAGCCATCTGAACAGCCCCAAAAGCAGCTGGCCTAGTTTAATTCCATTTCCTCCCTGAATTGAGCAGAAGAGATGTGCTGACAGAGATAAGGGCAGCAGCCTCCAACAGAACGGGGCTAATAAGCAGCTGGAAGGAAACCAGCTGAAGCAGTTTCTAATGTAAAGATCTATCTGTGCTAAGTTTGTAAACAACCTGGTGCCTGTGAAAGCTCTACCCTGAACCTCAAACAGGAATTTTAAAGCAGAGCTTCAAGCCTCAATTTCTAAAACATTCATGCTGGAGAAGGGCTGTAACGTACATCAGCCTGGCACAAACTCCAGTTTGTTTCATTTCCATGTAATAAGGTCCCTGCTCCCACCCATTCACCAGCATTAGCACCAGTCTCCAGGGAAGAGGCGTTCCTCACCATTCCAGCTGAAGCTCTGAAGAGTGTCTCGCAGCAACTTACACTCCCGATTATACTTCCACGCCTCCTGCATCACTTCATTCAGCTTCTCATCCTCATTTTCTCCTGTTCAGGAGAACAAAGATAAACAAGAGCTTTGTCATTCTGCCTTTCAGCAACATCCAGCTCTTACTAAACATTATGTTCAGTTATTCCCCCTTGCCTCACACAAACTGGGAAACTGGCCTGAAGGCAAACATCCTATTTGGAAGTTAATTTTAACAGCTCCACATGTTGCTGTTGACACAGTTATGCATGCACCAAAACTACAGTCCACAGAAAACATCCTCTCAAGACAGACTGTCAGTATTGACACACTGATCCTGAGGCACAGGAAAAGAAATCAGTGCCTGGTGTATTTAGGGATGGAACTTTCTTAAAAGTGGCAACCTTTACCAGCCTGTGGTAGAATGCACTGAGCAATCACATCTCTGAGCTTTTCCAGAGCCACATTGGAGTCATTACTTCCATTCTCCGGGTCGTGGATGTAAACACCATCCTTTGGCTTAGTGCTGCAAAAGAACAAGGAAGGAACAATTATAATTTGAATGCGACTCATGTCTGTTACTCATTGCATAACTGTACCAGCAGAGAACTCTCTTTCACTGTCTGGAAAGCTGTGAAAGGGAGCCAAATTTAGCATTAATTATTACAACATGCTGCATGACGAGACCATTTTAAATGAAGAAAATGAAGAAAAATAAATGTTAATTCAAATTAATTGAAAGGTAATCCTAAAATTGATCATTCTGGTTTTCAAATAGGTAACCAGAACAAAGAGAGGTTACCTTTTTTTTTTTTTTGTAAACAAATGATAAGATCTGAAAAAAAAATTGCAATTCTTTCTCCCATGTTGCCTTCTCAACATCTGACTCATCTTCTCATAATGGATCTGTTCTGCTATCATATAATACCTATTCCCTCTCCTTCCTCACTGCCCTATCTTGGAAGAGGCACCATATCATGCAAGTATGACTTGCTCCAACCACCCGCTTCTGCATGAAGAGTGTGGCAACCAAATCAGAAATTCAGGAGCACAGTGACAATCGAATGAACCCGTAACATGTTTAAAGTCACTCTCCAAGCATCACAGCTGCCTACACTCTGATCTTTCAAAAACAGCTTTAGAGAGTTACCCCAGTAATTTCCTTTTGCGCAGGATAGGGTTGTTGACGGAGTGAAGGGGTTTGAGACTGACTTTGAGGTCTTGGATTCGCATGTTTGCAAGCTGTTCTGCATGAGCCTGTTGTATCCCTGCAACCATTGCCTGGAATGAAAAGAATTATGCTTTGTGAATTAATGGACAATGTTAGCTATGGCCGTGATGTGACAGACAGCCCTCAAACCGCCCAGAAGCTATCCAGCTCCTCTGTGCAACATTCTTGATAAAACAAAACGTTGTTTAAACCTTGTCCATCATCAGCTGGGCAGAGGGTAGGATGTTATCCAGTGCCTCAGTGGAGTTGAGCCAGGGATGATCCAGCACACCTTCGATGGTCAGCCGCTCCTCCGGTTTGACCTTCAGCAACCTGGGAGAGGAATCCATCAGTCCATAAAGAGGTCTTTGGGGATGTATAATGCCCGGCTCCGTGTGATCAGAGCACTTAGCAATCTCTATATATTAAAGAGACCAAAAAAAGAAACTGCTCCTAATAAACCAAAACCTTCAGCTGACCTCAAGGCAGCCCGACTTTCCATCAGCCTCCCTGAGCCTTGCTGCGGTGATATTTTAACGCAGTCACAGCTCATTCGGTCATAATCAGCAATTCAGTGTAAAGAAAGGCACCAAAGGCCATTTTGGTAATACCTGCATTCAGCTGAACTCTATATTCACATCCTCCCTCATGGGAAATTATCTTCCAGACAAGCTGGAAATGATCCAAGCCAACACACCATAGAAACGCGTGTCTAAAGCTCATCTGCATGACAGTCTATATGCAGACCAAGGACTCTGGGCATGGTAAAATAAGGCAAAGCTTCAGAGCTCAAAACCTGTTTTCTGAATTAACTGCTTTCACTGGGCAACCCCTTTGCTTTTTTTTCCCTCTCTGTAAAAGCCTCAAATAATGGATGCTTTGGCAAGCTACAGTGACTCAGAATGAAAAGGAACATTATTCTGAAATCTCTGAAAAGCCCTCTGAATTAAACGTTACTGGAAAGACACCCTGGAAAGAGATTATGCAGATAAACTCACGTTCCCATGATAATCACTACTGTTTAATAGAAAAATAACATTTCACACAGAGCGCTGACAAGTATTCCAAATGTTTAAATTAGGAACAGAACGAGTTGATCAGTTTGTCACACTTTCTCAGACAATACTCCAAATCAGCTTCCTGGCTGCAGAGCAGAACTGTTTAATGTACCAAGAAAGTGGAAATCACTTTTACAAAACGTCAGCGAGACCACAGGCTGGCTCGTAACATTTCACTTGCAAGGCCATGCTGCCAAATAGGCTGTCAGTTCGGTGTTAATCCAAGACACATGCCTTCCTTTTTCATCAGTTTTCAATGTCCTCATCTATACTCAAGCAGTCCCGCTTGTAAAGCTTGGGGTCAGAAATCAATTTGACACGCTTGAAGGGAAATGGCCTCCTGAATGCAAAATAGGCTCTCCAGAAGCCTTCATGTGAATAGCATACACATAAATAAAATGTAAGCTGCTCCAAAATTATATACATTCTAAATGTACTCCTGCACTGTAAGCTCAAATTCAGACTCTTTGGCTGAAAAAGACAGACAGGAAAGCGAGTCTTGATAACATTACTCAGAGAATTGAGTGAAATGAACTGAATCCAGGCGACAGCACTCCATGAGTTTCATGGCCTTTTAAAACACAATGAAACCTTCTGACTGCTGACCTCAGTTTAAACAGAATTTTCACTGCAACATAATCTGCAATTTATCTGGTGAAAGATTTGGGCCCTCCTGTGCTGCTATGAACAGGACTCAGCACCCTTTCGAAACTATGTTAAGACGTGGAGGTTTTAAATACATCACAAAAGACAGCAACAGTTTAAAATTGTATAATAGATTTTTTTTTCTTATTTCTATTGCTTTTATCCTTCCAGTTCCTCTGGTGATACAAAGGCAATAAGTTCCTCTTGCTTTCAAAAAAACTAAGTGAAGTCAGCACATAATCAGTGTTACATTCATGCTTTCAGATAGGACCACTGGATGACAATGTTTGAAATACTTCAAACAAGAGATGTGTGCTTCAGGAAAACCAGCTCCCAAGCAGCATTTAAAACAAAATACCCACAGTAAACCTCATCTCATAGTCTGACACCTTGTGACAGACCTTAACCTCTCTTCAGACTCTTTTGAAACCAGATATTAGCACACAGTTCTGAGGGGGAGAGCTATTGATGGACTCAGCTGGCCACTTTCTATGAGCCACCCAACTGCCCTTTGGTTTTGCAGGATTTTGGACATTGCCACAGGAGCTGTACACCTGGAGAGGTCCACAGGTGTGCAGTTGGTTACAGAATAAAAGCACAATGCATTCCAGCAACTTTGGGGTCATCAGAAATTGTACACAGAGAGAAAAGAAAAGGAGGCAGAGGGGAAAGTATTTACCAAACTTCTTTTTGCTGAACACAGGAATTTTCTCAGCTGTGTGTGCTGCAGACAATTCACCCCACTGCTGGAAAAACAATCCCTTTGTGATAAGGCACTGTCAAATGATTTTCCAATTTCTTAATATAAGCACAGAGCAACACAACATTCTCCTCAGCTGACTCACTTTCGCACAATGTCTTTCGCCATCTCTGAGATCTGGCTCCACTCTTCCTCTGGAAATTCAAAACTTCCTGTCATGATCTTTTTCCGCATGTCCTTTGGAATTGTCCGACTGTGGTGTTTGGAGTAAAACGGAGGGTATCCACACAGCATCACGTAAATAATGACACCCAGGGACCACAGGTCACAGCTCTGAAAGCAAGGAAATGATCACTTTGGGGTGCGATTTGCAGCAATGCACCTGTGTTAAATGCTCTACATCATTCCCTATGGACGCAGGAGCACAGCTCCAAAAAAAAAGAACATCTGAGCATCCTCATGGATTTGTTCTTCCTCTCTTATAAGGTCATAACTCCATCAGAAACATTTCCTAAGTATTTTTCTCCCTTTTCGCTGCTGGATGTTGTGTTCTTTCCTTCAAGAGGATAATACCTGCTCACTATTTCTTCCTGCTCGTTTGGTTTAAAAGTGCATTTGAAATTATTTTTCTGGAAAATGTGCTGCCAAGGTGAACTCTTCCAACACTTGAGCCATCTTGTTTACAGAATGTGCTCCTATGACTGCTGGGCAATGGAAACCTGCATGGAAACTACAGTGCGTCAGAGGCCGGAGCGAGCTGCGTATTCATTACCTCTCAGGATAGCTGAACCCTTGGCTCTGAATGTCAGAGTATCATTCAGTCGTTTTTTTTAAGAATGTGATACTAGAGGGGAAAAAAAGAAGAGAATCTAGATATCCATGTGTTCACAACCACTCTGAAGAAGGGAAGAGGATCGTAACTGCCCAGACTTTAATGGGAGCACATCCTTAGAGATGCAGCTCTGGTATCGCTTGGTGCAGGCTGGGGCTGGAAGGATTGGCTCTGCATCATCACCCACCTGCAATATTTCTTTCCTGCATTTGTGCAGGGATCTTCTTTTTTTTTCTGGTTGGTTTTCAGCCCTATCATTCCCCTATCAGGGGAATTCTGATGGCTTATAGCAATACAAGGAGGGTCAGGAATATGCAGACAGGAGAATCCTGAGCTCCAGCTGGGTGCAGTGGCTGTGGAAAGCTACCTAAGGGCACATTTGGGGAGTTGAGGGGCTGGAGAGGTTCTGCAATCAGTTCCAAAGCCAGAAGCCTCTGCAGCTGCACCATATTGTCCCTGGGGACGAATTCTGCACTTCTGGTTGTGAAGCCACATGGACAAACTTGGCAAACAGAACCCCCAGCTGCCAAGGCTGGTTTCTGACTGGATCAGCACTGACCCAGAAAAGGGATTTCGAAGCTGTGACTGTTTCCTTCCAGAGGGAGCACACCTGGATCAGCTCTTACTGAACATTAAACCACAGCCTTCATTTCTGGCCACAGAGTCACTCCACATAGGTATTTGTGTCAGTCAGATGGATCTAGAAGTCTTAATTTCTATTTAGCCATGTGATTTTTACTGTTTTTCCAGTGACTAGAGATAATTTCTAATGGCACCAATAGGATTTTAGATGTGCAAGTTGGAAACAGGTGTCTAAATCTAAATTCTTTCTGGATATGGTTCTGAGATTTTATTTTTCAAGAGTCAGCCTCCTCTACTATGACAAACACACCCATCTGATCCAATGCACACACAGCTTAACAAAAATACTCAGGAAATCACAGATGTGTTTTTTCCTCCAATTTACATCTGTGGGATGGAGCTGCTGATCATGAAGGTGAATCACAGCCCTTTCTGCCAGGCTCTGACTTGCTGTGGAAGGATGGGGTACCTGAGAGTTTAGCACAGTCTATTTGGGGAAACCAGGCATATGCCAGAAGTTGTTTTTGCAGTGAGTCACACTTGGCAAGGTAAGGATGAGGCTGTTCATTTCCAGTCAGTGCCACCATGACTGAAAGCAGTTCAGAGTGACCAAGTAGTACTTTTTAAATGAAACACATGCAAACAAATTCACTTATCACACTGTAAAACCCAGGTGATCGAGGCACTTATTAGCATGTATGTAAACTCTAATTGATACCTATTTTCAAAACTTTTCTATTTTGTACAAGAGCATGGCCCATATTTTGCTTTAGTTGCACTGGACAAGGTTATTTGGCTCATTAACGAAGAAAACAGCTGTGAAACTTACTAATATGAACAGTAAGCAATCAATTCCAAGTGACTCTACTGCACCTACCCTTTTACAATGAAAGAGAGGTCCCTTGGAAAGGGCTATTATCTGAGATTCAGCCTGCTTCAATCCACAATAGTGCAATACTCGATCCTGCCTTGTGAAGTGAGCAATGCTGATATGGAGGAAGATGTTTTGCAACGACCAAGAAAAAGTTCAGTCTTTCAGCACACATTCTGTCAGAACTCTGCCAAGACTCCAGCAGCAGTTGTCATTGCCCATGGTCTCCTGCTTCAGACAACTCAATGTGCTATCAGTTATCTGTCAGAAGAGCCCTGATGCAGACGAGACACCACCACTGTCTGACCAACATAGCCTAAACAGTGCTTTGCACATCCAGAAACTGCAGCTGGCAGCAGAGAAGAGGATTCACTTGAATGGAGGTTAAAGAACTTCCCACCTGGTCTCTCAAAAATGTCATTAACGTTTAGTGATCCTGTTAACAATGAGTGCATATTTTCCCTTTAATTGGAGGATCATTAATTAGGCTGGGACCAAATTCATTCAAATTCCATTATTCACTCCATCAGAAAAAACACAGATCCACTCCCCTGCTCGCTTGTCACTTCTAACCTGACTGAGAAAGACAGCTACCTGCACAGATCATTATTTGTACCAGTTCTCCCAGTCAACTGAATGAAACCTGGGCTGGCCCTAGCACATTTAAGGGGAGAAATACCAATGTAGATGTGAACACTCTATTCCTTCATTCAGAACAGTTGAATAAGCCACACATTTGAGAAGTACAGCCCCAAAGATATTATAGCTGAAGATACATACATATACCAGAAAGCAAGCAACATGATGTTTCCCTCCAGTTCCCTGTAGATCCTGCTTTTAGCTCAGTGTGAGATCACAGAATCACAGAATGGCCCGGGTTGGAAGGGACCTCAAGGATCATGAATCTCCAACCTCCCTGCCACATGTCTATCTAGTTAGATGTATGGCTGTCACAGAGACCAGAACAACTTTATTGCTTCTGGCTGTAAGTGTGTGAAATTTGAGGACGATAAAGTTTATTGTCTTAGGTGATAAACTGCACTTATAGACTATGTGTACAGCATCTAAATCTGTGGAGGGAAAAAAAAAAAACAGCAAAATGCTTTGAAGACACTGACATGCAGACTGTCTCATAGCTTACCTTGTTGTACGTGTAAGGTGTTGGAGAGGTGGGGATAATACCAGATTTTTCTTTCTGATGCCGCCTTTGTGCCTCCAATACCTGTTGTCATAAGAGGAGAAGATTGCAAAAAGCACACAACTTACAGACACCAGAAACAAGATGCCCATGCCAAAGATGTTGGATTCTTTTCCACTAGTGGCCTTATGACAGCTCTTGAACACTCTGCCAGGCTCAGCCTGTTCTTCCTAAGACTAAATGTTTTGAAACAGGGGAAAGATTCAGCTAAGCAGGAAAGTAGTGCTACAAAAACCAGCCTGTCTGCAACTATAAATTATGTCTCAGTGCATAATGACAAGGGAGCCAAGTCAAAGTCAATTGGTAAACCTCTGACACTGCCCTCCTCCTAAGCAATTGCCTTTATAGAACTTTATTGTTTCAGCACATTCATTTGGAATGTAATTTTGTATGAGCCTGAGCTGCAAGGATTTGTGAAGCAGGGACTTTTTCAAACCAACCACACAATATGGGAAATCTGCATCGCGATCTCCTATTCTGATCAGTGTACCACTGCAGCACTCAGTCTTGAAAGGTTGCCCCTAAACATCTACTCAGGACTCCTGCATGCAGAAGCTTTTAATAAGACAGCAAGGGCTTTTAATATTAGATTATTTTGAAGGCACAAGCAAAAGGTCACTATCCCCCTATAACTTAAAGCCATAATAGTTTGTTACCTGAGGTGCTACGTAATATGGAGTGAACTGTGGTGTCATCAAGTCACCTTGGTCTACTTTGGCAAAACCAAAGTCACACAGTTTAACAGGTGCATCCTAAAATGAGATGTTGCATTACAAAATCAGCTTTTCTACTACATCCTTAATGCTTCCTACTCATCTTACCTTTACCCCATGTATTCCTGTTTTGTATTTCTACACCTATCACCCCACAAAGCAGATAAAAGATGGTAAACCAATCTTTGCAACAACCATCTTTGTTCTCTTGGGCACTCTGGGTCAAAGCAGTTGCTTTCTCTGCTTTGGAAAGAGCCAAATGCACGGTAGGGAGGTCACTGCATGTGCAGGTTGTGGGCAAGAGAAGGAAGAAACTTGTGGCATGGTATGCACACTTCAGTCAAAGCAGCTACATCACTAGTATAAAACATCCTAATGACATGAGGGGCGGAGAGGATTTTCCCCGTGACCACACAGCAGTATGGAAACATATAAAGCCAAAAGTCATTCCTTTTTGTCACCAAAATATTGCATTAACATCAGTTTACGTTTTTAAACTATTCTGAAAATCACCACTGAGCCATTTTTATAGAATTCAGCAGCAAAAAGCAATGCCAAGTTTTAATCTTACCAAAGAGTTATCCTTGAAGAGGAGATTCTCGGGCTTGAGGTCTCTGTGTGCAATGTTTAGTGAGTGGCAATGCTGCAAAGCCAAAGCTATCTGAAAAAGGGCACAACAAATCAGCTACAGTTATAGAACTCTTCCTTCAGCCTGGAGAGTTATTGTAGCTTTAAAAAAGACATTACCAAACATAGCCTAGGCCCCAACCTTTTTAATTCTGCTTGTACACCCCTTTTTGTTTGACTAAATCCAGGCATTATTACACCTGCCAGAAGTGAAATGGGTCATGACAGTGTCCTTTTATATGCTGTTGCAGCCCTTGGGGGTGACTGAACTTGCTTGCATGCTCTCCAGTGATTATGTAAGTCAAACACGAGTTCTTGCCTCAGTACTTCAGCAAAATATTTTACTGCATTTTAACAAACTTAACAGTTACTGCTCAGGCAGCTTTATTCTTTAGTTCTTGAAGGTACTGCCTGCAGCCTGTTCATTTCACATAGTATTACACAGAAATGCATTACTCGATTCTTTCAGAGGCAACTTCTTACGCTGCCGTGGTTTAGAAAGCTGTAACCTTGTCATGAAAGCTCTACAGACTGTACACATCTGAAAGTGCAACCTGTTTAAAGGAAAACAAATCACAAATACTTAAACAGCATTCCAGAAACCAAAGTAAGGCAAAGGCACATGATCCTCATTTGCAAGTGTTCCTCCTGTAGGATCATACCCATAAGCAGCACTCTGGGTGAAGTGCTGAGTCCTTAAACAACTGCAGATTACTGTGACAGAAGAAGTTCAGTGTTAACTTAGCTCAGAAACAAATATAATGAGTATTCTCAGATGCAGTGAGGGAGCCTTGTGACAAGGTTTTAGCTATTACTGGGTACAAGGAACCAAGATCAGTTCAAGACATTGATGAGAATCACCTTAAAGAATAAGGCTTTAATGTTGCTTCCAAGGTACATTTATAAGCACTGCTTATAAACAATGCTTATAAATGTTAACACAAAGAGTTACCTGGAGCATGAACAACCCAAGCGTGTATCAAGTCTGTGTTCAATGTAAAGGTATAGTTTTAAAAGAATTTTCCAACATGTTAACTGGCTTGCACTGCCAGAATCAATCCACTCAAAGGACATGACAATAACGTGTCAAGAATAATTCTGTATTTACACCTAATCTCTTTGCTGGATGAAGCCAAAAAGGTAGCAGCATTATTAGCATTTCATTAGAAATAACTCAAAGCACAAGACAGAATATTAAGGTGAAATTATTCAGCCCTCTTTTTTTTTTTTTGGCCTCAGTACCAAAAACATCATCTGCCCAACAGAGGAGAAAGGGGGTGATCAGGAACTGGATATATTCATAAACAGTGGTGTCAGTTTATACTAAATGCTGTATAATCTCATCTCATGTTCTCTTTCCTTTATCCCCTACATGGAATAATGCTTTCTGGTTTGGTGCCACAAGTCATCCAATAGCTTGGGCTTAAAGGAACAAACCCACCCAGAACTGAGAACTGACACTAGGGCTCCCCACACTGAATCCCACAGTGACCCTTCTGCTTTGTCATCCTGCCTACTGCAGCTGGATGAATTAGTCACAGCAGATGCACTGCTAAGCCACAAATAGCCCATGGACACTAAAATGTTTAGTAATAAACACTGAGCCTCTAAAATCACAACATTCAAGAATGAGCTGCCTAGAGAAATGGAGAGGGAAGGACGAAATCAGAACAGCACAGAAAACATGAGCTATAGTTGGACAGTCCTCTTGGGTTCTTCTACAAAACTAGACACAGAACTCAGATGGAAAACCACTGATGCAGGACACGAGTTATTGTCTGCTACCCCATTTAAGAGCAGAAACTCTAAGTCTCTGTCACAGCCAAGAATGATTCTCAAACTGGAGCTCAGGAGCAAGCATTGTCCGGTGAGAGCCTGTGGTGGATGGAATGCTTTCAGGACAATAGTGAGACATACAGACAAGGATTGTGCAGGAAAGAGTTCTTGTTAGTGAAGTTCTGTAAACCATGTTAGGAAAACCACTGCTAAGGACAGCAGACAATAGGGTCCCAACACAGCAGAACTAGCCCACACCTTCAAATTCTCTTTCCTTCTATTGAAACTTAAGCATTGTCAGATTATAACAAAGCAGGCAATGATCATTTGATCAGAACTGAGGATTATTTTAGCTTTCTTTTTTCCCACCTCCCCCCTGCCCCAAGAAATTGTTAAATACTTTAGCCATTAGCATTCATGGATTTGCTTATACATGGGTGTTAACTTGCCTGCTTTGTTACTTGGCTTGCTTGCTTCTCAGTAAAGTGCCGGTGCTGGCTGATTCTGTGAAATAGCTCTCCCCCTTCCATCATCTCCATTACAATTAGGAGCCGAGCCCTGTTCAAAAGCATTTCATTTTGTTACATTAAAATTAACCAAAAGAAGAACAGAATTGCTAAGCTAGTAGAGCATACTTCATATGTACAGATGCAGGCCAAAAAAAAAGAGACATACTCGCTTCTTCTACAGTTGTTCTAAGCCATTGTTTCAGTGACTTTGTACATAACCTGCAGATCTGTTGGCTCCCACCACACTGACTCACTGATTGCCAGCCAGGAGCCCACAGTTTGCTCTTCATGCTGAGAACCCACCTCCAGCTGGAACAAATCCCATGGACATGGGCACGGGTGCATTCAGACAGATGCACGCAAGCTGCACCCACATCTTCCACCAGCTTGGGTCTGGTAGCCATTGAGATGCACTAATGTGCAACTCCACCTCCAAAGAGTAATAATGCAGGCAGAGTGCATGAAACTGAGCTGACTTGGAGAACACCTACACCTGTTTGCCTCCATCCTTGCCTAGCTAGCTGACTGCATGCTGGAGATGCTTGTGGCATGGGAGAAGCAGGAGATCGAGGGTCATCTTTAATGTTACTCATCTACTCTGCTGTACCTCCTGATTTTAATTTACAGTTTTACTGCCGTAATTGCAAAGGACAAAGTATAGAAATCAAGGAGATGAGGACTGGCAGAGCCTCAAGAAATTGACTTCTACTTCTCCTATATTTTATCCTGTCAACCAGTGCAGCTGTCACAGAATGGATCAGTGCAAAACCTCAGAAATGAAGATGTGCTCAAAACCAGTAATGAAGGATTCAAGTTTTTTTTAAATATGTAAAGGCCTGGGTGTCAAGAACAGGAAAAAGTAAATGTTGCTTAGCCTGACGTACAGAAATCACGTTTGGAACCCTCAATAAGTGTTCATTTTGGCCACACTGATTGGAAGGGGAAAAAAAGCAAGCAAACTCCACTATACCTTGGCCTAAATATGGAAAGCAAGCTGTGGGAATGAAACATGCTGTGCAGTCTTACCTTGGGCTGGATTCATGTGGGAACTGCACACTGTTAGCATAAACTTCAATAATTTGAACAATATTTGGATGTGTTGCACACATCATGTGCAGACGTACCTTAAAGAGAAGGGAAGAAACATTACTGTACATAATGATGTGTATCCAAGCTGCTCTGATCCCCTCTCCCCCTCAACTGCTGCCCAGCACTGCTCACACACAATGTAAAATTCTCCTCCAGTTATTCAAAAAGCTAGAAATATCTAAAACACCTAAATATCCACATAAGTAACCAGCAGCCATTACACACTGAGACTAAGACAAAAAGTTTGTGCTTTGCGAATCCATTTGTTACAGACCACAGAATGAAATCCAGCAGTTCCTGAAAAAGCCCAATCTTTAGGGCTGCTTTCTTGCTGCTCTTTGTTTTTAATTGCTAAGACTTTTTTATTTTAAGAAATTTAGCAGTAGAACTAGCTTTAAATTAGTAAAGAAGATTAGACTTAAGCTGACACATATCTTGAAATTCAATAATAAAATGTGACGTTTCATAATTCTACTCCTCTTATGTCCAAGAGCATGAGTGTAGCACTCACGACACATAGAAGGAAACTCATCTGCTCACACTTTCTGAAACAGGAACCTAAGGAATGCCACCTGATTTAAAATGATCTGAACTGCAAGGCTTGATGCTCTTCATATCCAAACCTTCTTCCTCTGGGAACTTTAATGGAGAATTTAGTCCACAAATGGAAATTGCCTGAACCTTGAGGACAATTAGCACTTTTTCCCCCCCCACTTTCATGAAAGCTTGAACAGCTGTTCATTATTTTAAAGAGGCTGATGGTTTGGTGCATTGGCACGCTCATCACCCTCAGCAAGTCACAGACGGTATGGGTCAGCTTCTTTAGTTTCTCCTATACAGACAAACCCAAACGATTTCATGTGCAACTTGAGGCGTTCTTGGCAGCTCTTACAGCAGCGACATCCAAGAGTGAGATGTGTGGACACAGAACGACACCTCAGCTATTCGTGTTACACTGCATGGGACAGAGGCAGAGCTCTGAAAAGTCCTCTTGCACATACAGCTAACGTAGAACATCCAGGGCTGGGAAGACCCGTGTCCCCACCCCCATGCTCCAGGAACAAGCCTGGAGGACTAAATGAAAGGAATCCTGCACAGCAAGACCTGCAGAACACAGATATTAAACTGCTGCAGCAGTTCCTTAAAAGGGAAAGCCTTTACGGAGCGTCAGATGGCAGAGAACAAATAAAAACTGTACCTCATTTCTAGCTTTTGGACGATCAAGAAGGATTTTCAGTGCAAAGCGTTCTTGAGAGGATTTTTTCACGCAGACTCTGGTATTACAGCAAGAAAATTATTTTGTCAGCAAGAATGTTAAAGAGACACTTCAAGCAAATTGATGTGTAGTTACAAGGAATGCCCATAACATGGGATACACAGTGCACCATCACCGTATCCCAGCTGAAGCCTCAGCTTTTGGCTTTCCACATCAACCAAACACTTTCTGCAGAACCACCCAACACAAAGCTCTGCTTTCAGCAATGCAGGAGGAGTGCTTCAGAGCCGTGGTAACGGCTGAATGTTCTCCTTCTATTCATCCCCAAGAGCCATTTGTGATGAAAAAACCCAAAGCACACAGAGGCAGCCTGAGCATCTCCCATAGAGGATGGCGTCTGCAATAAATCAAGTGTTTCTGCACGGATATCCTGATTTTGAAGGGCCACCAGCCGTGCTGCACACGTTTTTTCTCTCTTCCCCCCATTTAATATTAACAATTGAACTACGTCAGAGGGCAGGGCCCTATGAACAGGCAGCAAAAAGCATCGAGAACAAAGGGATATTTTAATAAAGATCGGAGGCTGTGACAGAAAATGGATGAGAAGTCAATTGCTCGAACAGAAAGATAAATGGTGGCTGGGGACAACAGCCCACCAGGCTCCCACGCATTTGTGCACAGGCACTGGAAACAAATTCCTGCTCCCAAAGGGGAGGACGCTTTGTTTCCAGCTCCTGCAGTGATCACAAAGCCACACGAAGCCTGGTGCTGGGTGCACACTCTGCTGGGCCTCGTGTGAGGAGCTGAAAAAGCAGCTGGTAAAGCAGCACACGGTGCTGATGGTCCCAGCACTGACACTGGGATGGGAGCAGGGAGGTGGGGCAGCAGGAGGACATCAGTGCCTGAGCTGCACTTCCCAGTGCCACCGAGTCACAGCCGATCCCTGGGGCTGCTTGGTTTCAGGAATATGGCAGCAGTGAGCAGAATTTTTACTTCCAGCACACCCAGCAACAATTCCCTGCTCACACATCAGCTGTGAGTATTGAGATATTTATTTGCTTGTAGAGCCTTCAACACCGCCATGCCTTCTGCTCTTTGCACACTTAAAAGACATACTCACTTCTGCACACCTGAGATTACGCACAGATCCACAGGTACACTGCCTTACCTAACAGGGCCACTGATCCCAGCTCCCAGCTTCTGAGTCCAGTTAATGTTGTACTCCTCTAAAATGGAGGTTTCCTATTCAAGAAGGAGTGGGGGGAGGGGAAAGAGGAAAAAAAAAAAAAAAAAAAACACCAAAATTACTACAGCCCTTCCCAAACACCCAGCTCAGCAGCTGATCTGCAGATAGCAGAGTGCAGACGGAGCCTGTTCTGCAGTTCTGCTTCACCTAGGAAAATTAAACCTAAGAGCAAATGCTCACAGAATATAGCTCAGCAGAAAGTGATTTCTGTGCTGCTGAGGCTGCTCCCCCCGGCATTTTGAAGCAGGATTATTGAGAACAGCAAATGGGATCTTGCTGCTCTAACACAGTAAGCGTATAAAGGGTATTTCTCCCCCCCCCAGCCCTTAAATCCAGCTTTCTTCCTACAAATGATCAATTGCAAAGGTCCAGTTACAGCATTATCACATCCTTCTTGCTCATACAGTGTAATGGAAAATCATTTTTCTGTTCTTCAGGTTTGCAAACCTTTGGAATCATTATACTGCAAATTAACTGCTGCATGACTTAGCTTGTCTGAGAGTGAACCAAGCTCATGTTTATAATCCTTTTGTCCAAATCCATACAACCAGGGCAGGGGTTTGTTATGACACAGCCTGGGTGTGGCTGTGTTTAAACATGTCCTAACATTTGTGGGGTGCAAATGGAGCACTGAAAAATGCAGACTGGGTGCAGAATGGTGTGTGCACACTGGGGGTCACAAATCACACACGTGCTCAGAATCAGCTTCCAAAAAGCTCTGCTTTCTGATCAACTCCAAGCAAAGGAGGTGGTAGCAAAAGCTGGTTCCAGAGATGCTTAAAGAAGCAATTAAATGCTTAGAAGAGTCAACCACACATAAAGCAACTTTTTGGGGTCAGATTTTCTGCCTACATTAATTTTCATTCAAAACTGCAGCACTTCAGCATCCATTTGTGGTACAAATGGAGGCTGAGCTGCTGAAGGCATGGACAGAGCCACAGGTTGTGGCCCCACTGACCACACTGCAGCCAAACTTCAAACCACGTGCGTTGGAAACAAAGCCAGAGGAAAGCTGATGTTTAAGGCAAGAGCTGAAGGGCTTAGAGAGTGTAAAAGATAGATATAAAGAGAAAAAATAACCTGGAGTGGACACTGCATAGATCATAATGATAGCATGAAAGGAAAAAGTGATAGGTAGTTTTGAAGTGGAGATTTTTGGTGGAGTTTTAAAATAAAGAGTGGGAAAAAGTAAAACCCCAGGAACATGGGATCACAGTGCTTTACTGTTTTCAAAGCAGACAACGCTTCTTTGTGCTTCTATCAATTCAATTAACACAAATTTCACTACCTCGTGAGAAGCACATAAGGGAAAAGCCAACTTCAGTTTCCTGCTGCTCAGACACAGAGAACCACAGGCATCATAACCCGAGCAAAAGCACAAATTTCAGAACGTTATTGAGTGAAACCCCATTTCAGCTGAGACAGGAGAACAAGATGGAGGAATGGGAATTGGGAATGGGAATCAGATGAAGTGAGAATAAGATCTGGTAGTTCTCAGTTCCTGAAGAACAAACCCAATGACTGCAGCTCAGTCAATTTTTCATGAAGAAAAAATGTGTTTCCTTTTGCACGTTCTGGGCATTGTTCTAAATTGTTCACCATCGTTCTAAATAAAAACTCAACTTTTTTTCCCTGCCTTTTTATTTAGATTCAAATCTTCATTCAAAAGTAGCTTCACAAGTTTGGAAGAATAATCCATTAATGAAGAAACGCTCTTCACCATTTCCTACTGATATAAAACAGTACTTGAGAACTTCACTGCTCCTTAATGTACAACACTGCTTCCATCTCCCAGTTCAGAAACAAAAGCTCCAAACCCAGCAGCGAGACTGTACAAGCTGTAAATCAACACTGACTCATACCATTCAAACAGAGTGAAATATTTGAATCACCCTGATAAAAATCTGCCCTCTGAAAATACCAACATTTATTTCAGCAGCGCTGCCCCAGGGCTGCCTGGGTGACATGGCCCAGCAATCACCTGAAGGAACTGAGGGATCCGGGCTGAGATCAAGTGATGGTAATACAACATGCTGAGGACTCTCTGCAGTCTCTGTGCAAAGTGTCATCTGTCACAAAGCCTGGATGGCTTCATAAAGGCTTCCTTTAGTAAATGAATTCCAAAAGGATCTATCTAAAAACATCCCCTGTATTGGCATTTGCAATCTTCTCTGTTACTTGCCACTGCAGGATTTATCTTTACAAAGCTCACTGAGCTCTGATAGTGATAGGACATGGAGTTATAGATTTAAACTGACAAAAGAGAGATTTAGCTTTGACATTAGGAAGAAATTCTTCAGCATGAGGGCAGTGAGGCTCTGGCACAGAGAAGCTGTGGATGCCCCATTCCTCTAAGTGCCCAAGGCCGGGGTGGACCGGGTCCTGGGCAACCTGATATAGTGGGTGGTAACCAGCCCACAGCAGGGGGATGGAACTAGGTGATCTTTAAGGTCCTTTCCAACCCAGGCCATTCTGTGATTCTGTGATTCATTCTATACAAAAATATAAATAAAATTATCAGCAAGAGAAGTCCAACACAGTTCTTCACTGCTGAGGTCCGGACTGATTTAAAAGATATGGGTTTTGCATTTTGAACAAAACAAGCTCAAAGAGGGAAGAATTCTGAGCCCTGAGTTCAGACAGCTCAAGCTGCAACCTAACCATGACATCCAGCACCAGGCTGATATGCTGGCTCCCTGCTTTGTTCTCAGTCTTAGCACAGCGCAGCTGAAGCAGCTATCCAGGAGACTTTCAAAACAGAGAGTTCTTAAGTATTTCATATAAAGACCTTTATCAGAGCTGCTGGGTCTGCTCCTGCCCCTCTCAGCTCAGAGGGGTTCAGATCAAGAACAGAATCAGGAAAGTACGTTGGGTTAGAAGCACCCGTCTGAATGCAGAACTTATGTCAGTCCCACCTTGGAGAAGAGAAGGCTCCAGGGAGACCCCACTGGGACCTTCCAGGACTCAAGGAAAACTTATAAGCAGGAGTACCAATTTTTTTACACAGGCAGATAATGACAGGACAAGGGGCAATGGGTTTAAACTAAAAGAGAGGAGATTTAGGTCAGATGTCAGGAGGAAATTCTTCACTCAGAGAGCAAAGAGAGTCCAGAGCTGTGGGTGCCCCATCCCTAGAGGTGCCCGAGGCCATGGATGGGCCCTGGGCAGCCTGAGCTCGGGGGCAGCCAGCACATGGCAGAGGTGGGACTGGGGGGCATAAAGGTCTCTTCCAATTCAAACCATTCTTCGATTCTTTCAGGCATTTTGCTGAGCTCTCTGCTACACAGATACTAGCTTATAATTCAGGTTTGATTGAACGTCTCCTTGCTGGTGTAAGTTCTGTGTTTTGAGGTGGTGACTGCAGCAGAAGCTGCACTGACCGTGTGCACATCACTCACTGAACACGTGGCGTTGTCCAAATAACCCTCTGCATCCTCTTAATCGCCTTGAGTGGGAAAATCACAACTTTTAAAGTGCCCTACTTCAAACTTTTCCCACTGCTCCCTCCTGATGTCTCCTGCCCAACCCCGAAGATCGGCTCAGGGGATCCCTCAGCGCTGCTCTCCCGGCTGTCAGCGGTCCTTCCCAGGTGACCGAGGGAGACGACAGCAGCCGAAGCCCCACGGGCACCGAGAAGCGGCCACCGGCGTCCACCGCGGGGATGCCGAGAGCCGCTCCTTACCTTGATCGCTTTATCCATTTCGGGATCCCCCGACATCCTCCCGCGGGGCTCCGAGAACCGCCGGCCCGTCCTCACCGCGGGCCCAAGGGCCGAGGACCCGAGGAGCAGCGGGCGCGGGGCCGCGCTAAGCGCCGGGCAGCCCCGGGGGAGCCTTTGTGGCCGAGCCGCAGCGCCTCATCCCCGGCCGGCCGGACCGGAGGGGGCCGGGGGAGCGCCGCAGGAAGGCCGCGGCCGGGCCCAACGCCGCCGCTCAGCCCCGGAGCCGCCGCCGCCGCCGCCCGAGAGCCGCCGCCGCCGCCGCCCGGGAGCCAGACATCGCCGGCACTCCGAGCCGGGCAGCCCCGCCGGGCCGCGCAGCCCGCCGCAGAGCTCTCGTTGCCGCCGCGCTCGATGCGAGAGGCTGCTCCGAGCCCCCCGCTTGCTCTTGGATCCCACCGGACAATTTTAGGATCCTCCGCCGAGGCGGCGCAGCGATTTACAGGCGGGCGGTGGACAGCCCTACGAGCGCGACAGATCCATGAAAGCCCCGACGGGCCTTCCAAGGTTCGGGCGCCTCCTGGTGACGTCTGAAGAGTGCAGCTCAGGGGCGGAGTGAAGTCTCGCGAGATGACGAGCGCGCGTTGTTGGCGCCTCCTGCTGAGGCGCGGCGTGAGCAGCGCGGGCGGAACGAAGGGAAGGAACGGCGGCAAGAAATCGTCCGTGTACTCGAGTCTTCGCTTACACTGCTTTTACAAAACGCTCCGAGAGAAGGTAGGGTCAGCGTTACTGAGACAAAAGTATTTATTGCGAGCAGGTACAAAACGAGAGCGGGGCGAGCAGCTGAGAGGCAGCCCGCGCCTCAGCCGTTCACCTCACGTCCCCTCAGGCCGCGCTGCGCAGCTCCGCTCCTCGTCTGGCGGGGTAACGCACAGCAGCGCGCCGACAGCAGCTGTTGGCTTACACAGAACTGTTACGAGCCCCAGCTAAATGATTTTGGGGGGGGCTGGGAACGCGTTCATCAGCTACAGATGCAACAGGAGTACGCCCGTGTACCACGTTAGTGCTCGAGTAATTGTATTTGGTATTTTAGAAAGATAAAGCTCAGTAAGATTTTTAAGAAAAGCTCCTTCAGGCACCTCGTAAGGAATAGTTTCTTAATGCAGAGCTATGTATTTTCTGTTTAAGTTTTGTGTGTTAGAGGAAGAGGTTTTCTTGCTTTGTATCTCATGAAGCTGCATAGGTGTTTCCAAGCACATGGAGGCTGCTGTCCTTTAGGAGTTCTTCTGTGGAATTTTGATTGTCACCTAGAAAACACAAAAGTCACATGCTACTTTCTTGCAGAGTGTGTTTGGTTACGTTCACTTGAGGGCTGGGAGGCAGCAGCATCTCCCTGGAGTGAACCAGAGGTCAGTGTGTTGCTGCCTGGGAGCACCTCGGTTTTGGGGTCTCTCTGATTCATTGGAGGGGTGTGAGTGGGCACGTTTGTTTGTTGTCACCTGGAGCTCCTACAGCACATGAGCTCCCTGCCAGTCGCATGCTGGAAGCCCTGAACCGTTACACGCTTTGATGGTGAGCAGCATGCTTGCCATCTGCCAAGAGCCTTGTCACAATTGAGACTTTGCAGCTGCAGGAGGCAGGCAGTGGGACAGCCCTTCTGCCTTGCCTTATGGGAAGTTGCTCATTTTTCACCAACAGGATTGCCCAGTGCTTCAAATGCTTCCCCAGCCTTGGGGAACTAAGGGTGTGTCAACTTGGAATACTGGCATTAAGGGTTGGTGTTCACTGCTCAAATTCCCCCTCTCAAGCGATGAGTGCAACTGCAAGTTTGTACCCACATAAACTGACATGCATCCCCAGCACAGGCTCTCTCTGGTCTCCACAAAGTAAGCTTGCAGGGAAGCCAACACATCTGCATTATTTACAGGGAGAGACGGCTAGACTGTGCCAAGTGGTGCAGGCAACTGGTAACCTATCAGTCAGGTCACACATCCTTGTTTTTTTCAGCTGTATAAAACAGGACTGGCTTTCTGTTTTAAATACAGTTACACAGAGTTTTGTTTGCGATTATTTCACACATGCATTTTGTTTGAAGTACTGGAAAGAACTCCGAATTTGTTTGAAGTACTGGAAAGAACTGCAGCTCTCTGGCCAGCCTATACCAATATATACAAATTTGGTGTTACAGCAGAAGGTTGGGAGGTACCCAGATACAGGAATACTCACGTTTTTCACCTCCAGGTATGCCTCCAGACCATATTCTCCCAGCTCTCTCCCATTCCCAGATGCTTTGTAGCCACCAAATGGAGCTTGTGCACCAAACACATTATAGCAGTTTACCCTGAAAAGGAAACCAAGAGTTAAGAACCTCTTGTTTGCCCCTGTGGGGTAATGCAAGAGCTCTTTCACAGCAAATCTCTGTTTACAGCAGAGGGATGGCTGAATTTCTGGGCGCAATTTCCATATTTGTTAGTTATCTTAGTCAACAGAGTTACTCAGTTCTAGAACCTTATCTTCATCAACCAGTAAACAGAACACCATGAAATTAGCTCACATCTTGCATCACATAACCAAGTGTCTGGGTTGCTACCCAAAACTCTGAAGGAGGTGTGATTAAAAAAAAAAAATGATACAAGGTTCGCTCAATATACTTAAATAAACGAAATAGTGAGATGCTGGGTCTCCAAAATCCCCTGTGCTAAAGCAGCAAACTGTGGCAAAGTACTGACTTTGGCATAATCTTCAGCATGGCCTCAGAATACAGAATAGTATTAGTGGCACAGCCCAGGTTGTATAGATGTGCTCCATCTCCATCGTCTGATCACTCCTGGCACCAGAGCCCTGTAGCAGCTGCTGACATTTCAGCTGCAGCACTGAACTTCTTTTCCCCCCACCTTATTTGCTAATTCACAGTGAGAGAACAGAAGCTTAACATAGCTAAATTTTACCAAAAATCAGCGTTGCAGCTGAAGGTTTGACATTACATTCTATGAGGATCCAAAGCAAAGGAAGGCTATCAAACAGCAAGCTTGATGGGAAGTGAGAGCACAAGAAAGCTTCCAGCAGTTTAAGGAGAAGAAAGTGATAAGGCTTACCAGACTGTTCCAGCTCGCAGGGCCTGAGATACGTAGTTTGCCTTGTCAATATCCTTTGTAAAGACTGCTGCTGCTAGACCATACTTGGAGTTATTTGCTCTCTCAATTATTTCCTCAATTGTTTTGAACTTCATAATCTGCATGACAGGCCCAAATATCTGCATAATCCAAACAGATCACATGACAGAAATCTGTAAATTGATCTCTCTGTTGTTGACACTGGAGTTACACGTGTACGTTAGAAGTTACACAGGATGCTAAATTCAAAGTATCTGTGTGGCCACTTCCCATATTACAAAGCACCCAGCATGTCATAATGCAGAGGGAAGTTCTCTGTGGTAACTTCCTAAGTGCCACATTTCCATTTCTGTTCTCAGTTAATGAATGTCTGGTGCTTGTAGACATGGATCATTTTGCATCAGAGGGTGCAGAAGGACAAAGCAGAGAGAAACTGACAGGTGCTGCAGGCCTCACCTCCTCTCTGGCAATTGTCATGTTGTCCTGCACGTCACCAAAGACGGTTGGCTGCACGAAATAGCCACGATCTGCAGCAGGGTTGCCACCACACAGCAGTTTGGCTCCTTCACGCTTCCCAGTATTGATGTAACCAAGGATCTTCTTAAACTGCTCTTCATCCACCTAAGAGCCGTCAGGACAGGCAGATCAGTTTGGTCAGGGGTAAAAAAGGGATGTAACTGCAATCTGCTCTGCATGCAGCTGTGCTCTATCAGTTCCTCATTTCAACAGACTGCCAGGCTGGCTTCAAAGAGAGATGATAATTTTTAAATGCTTCTTTCAAGTGGGAGGGTTGGAATAATCAGAACGGTTAATTAACTTCTCCTTCCTGCACAAGGAGATAATGGACACAGTTCAAAGGAGATTAATGAGGAGACTGGAGGATATTTTTCATTCTAACCTAGTGATGCAGAGTTACTCGAGATTGGGTTATTTCATGAGATAATGGCTCAAGACATTTCCTGCTCTCACCTGAGGTCCCTGCTCAGTTTTAAAGTCAAATGGGTTTCCAACCACCCTGGACTTGGCCTTCTCAACACTCCTTTCCACAAACTCATTATATATATCCTCTTGGACATAAGTTCGGGATCCTGCACAGCAGCACTGCCCTTGGTTGAAGAAGAGGGCAAAGTGGGCTTGATCCACAGCCCAGTCCACTGGAATTGAGGAGAGGAGAAAAAAAAGTAAATAAATAAAACCAACCCAAGTGACTTGTTTGAATAATTATTGTGCACAGCCAGGTGGTGTCAGAGCTGGAGTATCACACAACATAGGAAGGGTTTCTTTTCCTCTAGTTCTGCTTGCAGCAAGCCAATGTGAAAGGTACAGATCAAGTATTAATGTTAGCAGGTGCTTACTGTCAGCATCAGACATGATTATATTCGGACTCTTTCCTCCGAGCTCCAGGGTCACTCTTTTTAGGTTACTCTCTGCTGCAGCTTTCTTAATCAGGTGCCCAACCTGCATCATAAGAAGAAGAGGTATTAGGGATTAGCTCCAGCATACAGCAGCACTTGGCAGGGCAGCTGGTTTTAGATTTCCATCAGCAGTTTAATAGTAATCCCTTCATTGTTAGGGCTTTGGGGGAACAACTGAGATCTGCCCAGAATTTCACCTCCAGTAGAAGCAAAACAATAGTAAATATTCTAAAGAAAGCACCTAAAAGGAGTCTTATGTAAAGTAAGATTAAGACTTCACGCCCTGAAATCAGCTGTACTTTTCAAAAGAAGTAGAAGGCAATGGCCCTCCAGTATTTTGTCCAAAAGATGTTTTACAGCAATGAAATGCTCTTTATGTCCCAAGGGCTTAAAGATTTGTCTTCCTTTACCTCTGTGGAGCCAGTGAAGGCCACTTTATCTACATCCATGTGGGCAGAGATAGCAGCTCCTGCAGTGGGCCCATAGCCAGGGATGATGTTCACCACACCTGGTGGGAATCCAGCCTGCAGGATTAAAGATAACACATACACTCATCTGTTAGCTCCAATATGCCTCCCACAGAGAACAGCATTTCCTATCTCACTTTCATTTCCCAGGTCTTCAGTTTCAGTGTTCAGTTTGTGAGAACCAGGACAATTCCTCTCCCCACCCTGCATCTCAGACGTAGCTTGGAAATGTATTTTTGCTTCCTAATCACCGAACAGTTGTTACTTACTTTAACTTCAGAGTCCTTCCCTGAATCAAGGATGCTCTCTGCACACACATGTATGGAGATGAGGGTGTTTGGTTATTTGTTTTTTGCTAAAGCAAATGCTAGGATATCTGAGACAATTCATTCTTCCTTCAGATCAGACAACATTTCTCTGTCCCTGTCATATGTCCTCTGTAGCTCATCAGTTGGGCTCATTACCCTGAAATCCAGCAGTGACAACAGAGACAGCCGAAAGAACCCAGCCTCTTCTCTCACCTCTTTGATCAGATTAGCTACATAGAGAGCACTCAGGGGGGTTTGCTCTGCCACTTTCATCACAACCACATTCCCGGTAGCCAGGGCAGGCCCAAGTTTCCATGCTTGCATCAACAGCGGGAAGTTCCACTGGAAAACAGAAATATTGTCTGGTCTGAGTCTGAAAGTTGCTAATTAATGAGTAAGTAACCAGTGAGCATCATTCAGATCTGCAAGTGCAGCACCTATGGAAGCACTCCCTGATCCTCCCCAAGCTGCTCAGCTGCGTTTGGCTCCTTTTCAGGTACTGCCTTCTGCTTGTCCAGGAAAACTATACTCTGAAGTGTGAAGCCTCTCAGTGCTACTGCAAAACCACAACTCTTTTGTAATTAATCTTTATGGTCTATTTAGCCTTTACATTTCTCTTTTGAGGTGTTTTGAAAGAAAGCCTTTGTAATGACAGAGCAGGGCTTGCAGACCCGTGAGGTGTTCATGTTCAGCTCTTGCACAATGCAAATACAAAAAGCATGCAAATACAAAATGCATGCAGCAGTTAGTCTGGCTACTCCTGTAAGCAGATATCACTGTCTGTGCACCTGGCATCCATTTGGCCTTGTTGCTGACAAACCACCTTGCTGTGCTTGCTACCAGTTACAGAAAAAAGATACGTTATATAAAACGGAATTACGCATGCTAGCTTTATTTCCTCATCACACAAACTACTTCCTAGCACTGGAATCAGAAGTCTGAACAGTGCCTCTGAGCTGGACAACACCTATAAAGAGGTTTGTGTTCTTTTTTCATTTGCAGCAGCAGGAAATACAAAGTAAATGTTACACATAGCCCATGAAATCAAGGAGTAGCTCTGTGCTTTCAAAGTAACAGCCCTCCCAGCTGGTGCAAGTGTAACTTTGTTTTTACTGTCAGAAGGAAGCTGAGTTTAGCACAACAGATACTAACCTGCATTTTAAGACAACTCCTCATCATAACACCAAATTCCTGAATTACCACAGGACCTACTGATACATTTCACTCACCGGGATTATCTGTCCACAAACTCCCACTGGCTCATGTCTGGTGTAACAGAAGAAGTCTCCATCTAAAGGGATGGTTTTGCCATGGAATTTATCAGACCAGCCTGCGAAGTACCTGGCAAGAATCAAGTTTTGGTCAGTGAATTTAAAATGAGTCTCTGGTCGCTAGAAAACAAGAAATGTTCTTTCAGCTATTTGGTTTCCTCCTGTCTTCAGTCACTTCATAAAGCACATTCTAACACAAGGATTTCCCAGGAAAGTGATTATAAAGATGGACAATAAATACAAACATTTGTCTCTTGCGTGTTTGCACAGTGTATATTTTGTCATTTGTGTACTGCATTACAGATCCCTTTATCCATGCAAATCCTGTATATACATAAAACAAAAGCCCTTTGGGAAGTTAGAAGAATTACAGTTTCATTCTTACTTACAAAAAAAAAAAAAAAAAAAAAAAAGGGAAGGAAAACAGAAACAGACTGAAAGGCTCAGCACCAGCCTTGCCAGCCACAGTGCCTCAGTCAGTAAATCTACTCTCTGTGTGCAGAGGTTCAACCACCACAGGCCAGCTGAGCAGGAATGGGGAGCTGGAAGAGTTACTGTGCTGTCACTGTAGCCTCCACACCTACCTGAGGCATTTGACAACCATGTCCAGATCCACCAAGTAGGCAATAGAGTAAGGTTTGCCATTATCCAGAGTTTCAAGTGCCTACAAATACAATGAGATGGGGAAAATCACACATATAGATTCAGATTTGGTTCTCAGTTTGCTATTTGGATCAGTTTTGTATGTTGGCCTATTAGCTTTCAGGTTCCCCAAACTATTTCCCTTCCTGTCCTTTGTAGCTCTCTCAGTTTCACTATGGCTAAAATCCTCACCACACCTTATGGATACAAACCACCCATCTGTGCCTCCCTTTGCCCCAGGTTGCAATACACACCGCCAGATACGCCCGGTCTCTCTCAATCAGGTCAGCAAGACGATTCAGCAGCTTCCCCCGGTGCGAAGCATCCATTCTCCTCCAAGGTGAGCCCAGCTGGAAAGCTGCTCTGGCTGCCTTAACAGCTTTGTCCACATCTGCCTGCAGAGGAGTCCAGACAAGAGCATGAGAAAAGGGTAAATGTCTCCCACCTTCCTTCCCAAAATACAACTAAAGCCCTTCCTGGACTCCTGGAGAAAACATGGCACCAGCATCTGCTAGTGACCGCCTTTCTGGGACAGGGACTTTCTGCCTCACAGCTGAATGAATCATTGCAACACACATCAATCCTGGTGCTGTGGAGCTCACAGGCTGCGGCCCCAGGACCACTCATCCCAAGCATCAGCCCAGGCAGTGCCATGCAGCAGTGCAGCCTCTGCGCACAGCTTTCCTGCTGCCTGCATCCCTGGGGATGGGGGAGCTGAACAGATGGGTGCAGCAGCTGCACACCCACCACCTGTGCTTATGCTCTCTGTTATTTCAGCTACGTGGAGTGCAAATGTTGTCAAGTTATTTCCACAATGTCATCTGCCAGGTTGATATTTACATCCTAGCATAGGGCAAGGAAAAAGCTCTAGAAGTCTGCTTTTGATACTTTTTATTAGATTAGAATTCAATTTCACCAGTATGTTTTCCTTGATCATATACCTCAAATTCATCATTCTGTCCTGTCAGGACTGTCATTTGTTCCTAGTTGGTTTTCTGTTCTGGCTTGCTGAAAGACAATCTGCTCCACCATGGATAAGCAAACAACAGGGCTTCCTTTGCTCACCTCTCCCTTGGGGAATACAGACAAGCATCCAGGCTGTAGGATGAGCCCCACATTGCTGGGAAGCAGAATCTTTGCTCTGCCACGGACTCCTAGGAGGGCCTCACCTAACTCATGGAACAGTTATATCTCTCTTAAGTTTCCTTGGGCTGGGGATGGTCTCCCACTACACACATACAGCACAGTAGAGCAGTCCAGGTGAATACAAACCTTTTGTCTCCCATGCTGTGTGACTGGATCACATCTCTGCCATAGCACCCACAGCAACATCCACCCACAACTGCTCCCAGACCTCCCAGCCACTGGACTGAGGCAAACCCAGAGGATCTTTATGGAAGCTGTAGTCAAGGAAGGGCACAAGCAGCATAATATGATATTTGTGTAGATCCAACATTTATTACTGCATACATGGCATGTGGCAGAGCTGTAGGGGGGAGCTCAGTTAGCAACTGAATGGATCTCATCAGCAGAACATTTATTTACCTTATCGCCCTCAGCAACCTGGCAGATAACTTCTCCTGTTGCTGGATTGATAGTAGGGAAGGTTTTCTTACTGACTGCATCATGCCACTCGTTATTTATGAAGATCTGGAATGAAGTGAGCAAATCGGTTTTAAACTTTAGATCCAAGCCTCAGAGGAATTGATATGAGCTTTATTTGTTAGATGGCATATTAACAGGCTGTTTAATTAAAGGGACATGCTTTGTGAGGACTCCAAAATGGCACTGATAGGGAGGAGATATGTCAGCCTAGAAGTGCGTAATAAAAGAAGCCTCGAGTTGGCAAAAAGAACCCGAATCCCAGCAAACGGCTCGTGGATTGGCAGCGGTTCCTGCCCTGCTGGGTTCTCCCAGAGCCTGTTGATCGGCTGGAGCTGAGCGGGGAGACGGGGAGCCTCGGAACAGCGGGACAAGGCTTCGGGCAGCGATCATACGCCCACCCCATTTTGTACGCAGCGCTACAACTGTGCAGCACTGCCCCGATGGGCCCGTTTCAGGCACCTCGCGTAGCAGAGAACTCAGTTCTCAGACACAGCAGGCGCCGAGCAGCAGCTCCTCCCCACGGACACGGGCTCGCTTCCCACGCACAGCAGCACCGATCCGGGCCTCCTCCCCGCGGCGCTCGGCCATCCCGCCCCGTGTCCGGCCGTTCCGCCCCGGAGCCGCGCTTCGCCAAGCGGGCCGAAGCCGGGCCGCCCGCGCCGGGCCCCGCGCCGCTCCCGGGCCTGGGAGCTCTACGCCGCCCCGCGGAGCCCGCAGCTCGCGGCCCGGCCATACCTTGTTGTAGGCGATCTCCGGGCTCGGGTTGGGTGCGGGGATGGGGGAAGCGGCGGCGGCCGAGAGCAGCCGGGCCGGACCGCGGCAGAGCCGAGAAGCGAACCCCGCCACCCGCAACATCGCTGCGCTGCTCCCAGTCCCGCTCCGCTCCGCCGCGCTGCTCCGCCCGCCTCCGGCGCTGCCCGGTCCCGCTCCGCCCCGCCACGCCTCCCCCCCTCGGCTCCGTCCCGTGTCGGCGCGGCTCGGCCCGGCTTCGGGTCTGCCGGTCTGCGTCGGTCGGCTCGGTGGACCTCGGTTCCATTCAGGACACCTCGGCCCAGCTTCATTCAAGCTGTTCGGCGCAGTTTGGGGTGGCCCACATTGGTTCAGTTGATTTTGGACCCACGTGGCTCAATTGGGCACAACTCAGTTCGTTTTGCTTCACTTTGGTTCTGGCCGGCAAAGCCCACAGGCGGACCCATGGCACAGATGGGACAGCACAGCCAAGGCACGCATGCACTGCAGATGCACATCTCATCAGCGTCTGGCACGGGGACTTCTGCTTACCTGGACAGCCTGCCCTTAGTGGCACACAGGAATCTTAAAAAAATAACCTATTGCATATAGGGCAAATGAATCAATGCCAGTGTAGCACTCTCACAGCAGGATGGTTGCTCAGTGCATGCAAATGAATGCTCGGCAAAAATTGCTCCTAACAATGGTTAAATGGTTAAAATGGTTTCTGCTGTTTTGCTTGAGATGTCTCATGTGATTTCATCGTACTTAGGTCCAGAAAAATTAACATGCCACAGAAATATTCTGAAGTTACCATCAACATCAGTAAGAAAGGAGTATTTAACCTCCAAAAGACACTTGCACAGGGCTAAGCTCTCACTGTGCTCTCAGCTGTCCTGTGCATGACCTCTGCTGACACCTGGATGGACAACCAATGACATGGGGCTTAAGTGACATCTGTGGTGCTTAATACTTTTATTTTTGCTCAACTTGAGCACATCCCTTTCTTTCCCTGGGGCTTAGCAGACAAACCTAGCAATGCTAAAACCCCATGCAATGGAAGAAATGCATGCATGAGGCTGAAGGCAGCCTCAAACCTTCAGCCCTGCAGTGGCTGGCGAGGATTCTACCTGCTGCAAGATTAGATGTTAGGAGGTACAAAGGCCAGATGCCTGCTCAGAAATCACCCAGTCTGTTTGTGCTGGGCAGGTAGAGGCTCAGAGACTCCCTCCCCCTTGCATAGCAGAGCCAAATGCCACTGGGAGAGGTTGAATTTCACTCTCAGCCCAGGAGAAACCAAAGCTCAGGTTACAAAGCCTTCTATAGCCAATAGCACAGCAATCCCAGGGCTTCCCTGCAGCACTTCTCCTGTCCCTGGCAGCAAGGATGTGGTGACCACCCTGGGCTGATGCATAATGTGGCTTTGTGGAACTGGGCTGTAAGGTTGTGCACTGGAGGAGCCAGCACTGGGCACTGCGATATGAGTCAGTGCAAGGACCCTGCCAGGTCAGCCTCGGCGGTGGCCAAAGCTGCAGGCATGCATCCCACTGTCCCCAGCATGGCATTTTCATCAGGAGCAAAGGAATACTAAAGAGTTGAACTTGTTAATCATGTGAATTCAAAGAAATATATCCATCACTTTAATATTAAATTAACACCAGTGTACACATAAAAAGCTCAGGAATTACCACAATCAAGACCACAGTCTTTTCCCGCTGCTCATCTTTGTGAAGCACTGAAAGCCTCCACTAATCTGGTTTACATCATCCCAGATCCCCAAAGAAACCCAGAGAAATCCACTGCAGTCATAGGGCCAGGGAGTCCTCCCAGTTCCATGGGCCTCAGCTCCATGATCTGCTCTGAAGCCAGTGATTCATTTCCTCTCACCTCTGGAGTCCTGGCACCCTCAGGTTGCTGGAGGTGTTGTGCTAATGAGAGATGCTCCACTCTGTTTCCTATACTCCCAAAACCAAGACTTGCAACCTCAGCCTTGCTGTTCCTAATGAGTGCTCCCCACTGCAAGGCTGTTGACTGTCTGCAGCCTCATGATCCAGAGAGGGATTTTGCCCTGTACCTATTGAACCTGGCAATAAAGGCACTGAGCCCAAATAACAGTAAATACCACTGAAATTCTCAAGCTTCCAGGCTGTAGATAGTACAACCTTCCCCATGCCAGAGGGGCTCTTTTAGTCACATGTTCCAAGACTCCCCAGTGCAGTGGCTCAGCTCCAATTTGGAGAACATTGTCCTGTGAACCATGTGGGACCTTCAGCCAGATGTGGGGCTCAGGTCTGAATGAAGTGTCCGGCTGGAGGATGCACTGCTGAGATGTTCTGCTCCACAGACCTGTGTGAGAATAAGATTAATACCATGAAGGGCAAGTAAAGGAGTGCAGGACTAAGGAAGCACAGTATCAAATGCCTCAGCTCCTTTCCTGGGATCTGCAACAACAGACAGGACAAACCACTCCTTAGGGTCACTGACCCTGTGGTGTCCTTTTGCTGCTTCATTTGGGCCACAGAAGGATCAGTAGTTAGGTGTATGTATCTGCTCACCTGTCTAGCCTGATCCATGGTCTGCACAGTCATCATCAGAGACACTACTTTGGTGCTGGTGGAAGAGGATGAGACACATTGCTCTCTCCATGGAGAGGATGTGGGGATGGGCAATCTTTGGGACCAAAGTTTGCAGGTTCCCATGCAGGACATGACAGGACCAGCCCAGGGCTTCCATGTCTCAGCAAATGCACATCATCCCAATCGCAGGGATAAAGCCTGCCTCTGCAGTGCCAGCTGGCCCTTCCCTTAGCCCTTGCCCAGCTTCTCAGTGCTGTGACAGCTCTCAGCCAGGACTGCTCAGCTGTTTAATACTCTGCTGCATTATCTTTCCCCTGCAGGCAGCAGGACTCCACTCTGGACTCCTCCCCTGCCCTTTACAACATGCTTCCATAGCAAAGGTTGACAGTTGAAGCACAATAACACTGGGAAAAGCAGTGGAATGGATGGAAGGCGAGGATGAGGGGTCTGTCTGCTCTGCCAGTTCTCCCCATGGCCAGGCTGCAGCTCTGATTTTGGAGACTTGTTGACTCTGCCAGGTCTGAAAATGAGTGTCTGGGAAACAGGCAAAAAGATATGCTCATCTCAGCATTTCTAAATTGCCTAGAGCCACTGCTTTTCCTGCTTTTCCATCTTCTTGGGGGATCAGCTGCTGAGCACTCTGAAATGCTGTTTTTTGCTGGTTTCTGCATAGCACGAGGAAATGTCTCTGAAAGGCTGAATAACAGATGGGTGGGTTTTTTTGGCAGTAAAAAGGTAGTTAAGTAACCCACTAGTATTTGACAATGCCACTAGAGTAGGTTAAGAGTATAATCCCAATAGCAGTTCAAGAATAGCGTTGTTTGCTTTTGTGACACACTGTGAATGATTACTTATGATACCACTCCCAGCAAATCAGTCAGCCCAGAGTCACATGCACACTGAGCTACACCATCAGTAGCACCGGGGAGTGTAAGCAGAGAGAAATCAGTTTGAAGAGCCTGGGCAGGAGACCAAGTGTCCTCATATCATCCACATATTGGCCCTAAATGCCTCATGCTGGCGGAATAAATACGTGAAATTGAAGTTCTACCACTCAGGAATTGATGCAACTCTCTTCTCTGCACATGACCCTCCACATGACTATGGGAAAGTCATTTTGGTAGCTGCTTTCTGCCTCCTCACCACCATACCAAAACCAATCAATGTCTCTCCATTTTAAGGGTTCAAGGCTGCAGCAGTACCTGCTCTGTGCAGGAGAGGCCAAGAAAGTAGCAGGGCTAAAGTCCAGGTGTCATCCCAGAGCCTGCACTGCCAAGGGCAGGATCATAAGCTTATCATTGGCCACTGTTTACCAACAGGAGAGTCTGCAGGGACAGCCCTGCTGGGAGAAAGGAATGAGCAGCACTGGACTGACAGTGCTAGGCAGAAAGGCTCCAGTCTAGTCAGCCTCTGGAGAGTCCATCAGTGTTGGTGGTAGCAGCTTGAGGGAGCAGCACCTGCAGTTATAGCTAGCCTGGTGATAATCTGCTTATCTTGGAAGGGAGTGCCAGCTTCTGAAATTGCCATTTTCTAGAATATGAACTCTTGTTATCTGAATGTAGCAAGCAAAAGGAAACTGACCCCATTTCTCCAAGTCATAGGACCTTATGAATGCTAAGAGTCTGATGTGATTAAGAATGCAAGGACACTTAGAGGCATAGCACAATCCTCCACCCTGGCGTTGGTACAGCAACATAAAACTATGTTAGGAAAGAAGGGGTCTCACCTTCTTTTCTAGAACAGGACGTGGAGTGCATCTGGGCTGGGAAATCAGAAAACTCCACTGGACATCCAAGATCCTTGCCAGCTTGCAGTAAAGACCTTGGGCCACCCCCAAGAGGCTGCTGAAGGAAGTGATCAGGGGGACTTCAGGCACAGGGACAGTCCCAGGATGTGTGCAGGTACTGTAGCTCCTGCTGAGGAATGGCCCTTGCCTGGCCCAGGTACTGTAATGTTGTGCAAAAGGCTTTGCAATGGAGAGGCTGTCAAACACACGGAATCCTTCTTTTATGGCAAAATCCCAAGCCAGATCAGCCACAAACTCTGCATGCTCCAGACAGCTTCTACCTCGGGCTGGCCTCCCTGGTGACAAGAGTAAGATGCTTTAACTTCAGAGAAGCTGTGTGAAGTACACATCTCAAACAGTGCCCTGTGTCCTTGTCCAGGCCAGCACAGCAGGACTCAGGGACATTCTTTTCTAAGGAATTCCAAAATAATATCTTGTTTTTCTCTGATAAAAACTCCTAGGCCAGGCCTGATGTATGCAGGTAATCAGCAATGAGAGTACACACCACCTCCCTGCTTCCAAATTCCTCTGAGGCTTAGTTCAAAAGTCTGAGAGCTCCACCTGTAGGAACTCTGAACTCTGGCCTCTGCTCAGCCCTCCCAATAAAGAAGTGAGCACAACAACCTCCAATCAGCACAGAAAACAAGCCCAGTTCAGACTTTGCGTCCAGGAAAGAGCAGCACTGAGGAAATGCTGTGTGTGTGTGTTCCCCTTTGGCCTTTTTTTTTCTATTTGCAAGACACAACTTGACCACAAAATGTACTACAGTGAAAACACAAAACCACCTTGCTCTCCTGCTGATCCAGCTAACTCTCAGGAGTGCTTCATTTTGCTTTACTGCCTGAAATTTCAGAGGTATCAGCATGCAAAGTCAGGAGTGCCCAAACCCTTTAGCAGCACGTTCTGGTGGTCTGACTTTCCCTAGTTCAATGTGAGAGCTCTCCATGAAGGGCTTGTGTGTCTGTGCTGCTGGCTGAGGACCTCTGTAAAGCAGGGCCAGTGTGGTTGGGCTCCTCACCTCACCTGTCAGAGATTGTTTGTGGAGTCTCTGCAGCATTGCAGCCAGTCTGAAGAAAGCAAAGGCCATGTAGAAATTCCAGTTGTCGGGGAGCTCCATTCCCATGTGGCCACAGTACTTCTGGCAATACTCCTCTGCTGTAGGGACTCCCAGGTGCCTCAAATCGTATTTTGCCAAGCCTGGAACACACAAAGGGCAACAATGAGTCAGCAGACTCTGTGAAGCTCAGTGCTTTCTAGCAGAGCCCTGCAAGCTGTGGAGCAGTGGAGACACCTGCAGCCACGTAATGCTGTGCTGTGCTGTTTCCATACACAGAACCAATTTGGCACCAATTCATTTAGGTGAAATACATATGCAAGAGTTTTCTTCAATGGGCTGAGACTGTGAAAACAGTGACTGACAGGCTACCAGCCCCATCCAGGACAGTGAGCTCACAGTGGGGTTCATACCACTTCCTTACCAAACCAGACATGGGATGGAGTGATCATGGCACAGCGATCATTGCACATGCAGTGCTTCTGCCATGGAGGGATGGAGGGTTCTTCAGAGAAAGGGCAGGACAGGGAATAAAGTACATGACCTGTAGCCCTTCCCAACTGCAGTGAGCCAACTGTCAGCTGAGCTCTTTAAGAGCAAGAGTTAATCTGTTTCTGAATTCTCATTCTCTCTGTGTCAGATGTGACTTTGCCCCTTTCTGTACCTTTCATTGGGTCGAACTGAGGTGGCAGGAAATAAGCCATACAGTTATTTGCCAAATCGGAGATGGGATCTCCTAGAATTGAAAACTTCCAGCCAAGGACTGCAAGGACTTCTGGCCTTTTTGGGTGAAAGATTAGGTTGTCCAGCCTGTATCAGAGGGAAAAAAACAAATCAGAAAGATCTCGAGGGAGAAAATCCCAGCACTCAGAAGCAGTATGCACTGTGCAAAAATGGCTGAGTTCTCTGGGAGGCTGCACAAGTGAAACATTAATTTCTCCATGCATAGGTCAGAGAGGACTGAAATTACTCAATAGTGAACTCCCTGGTTAATAATGAACATAACTGTGCTTTGAAGAATGAAACAAAGTTATTTGGGTCCTCAGATCATTAACATGTTAGAGGACAGGCTAGCCAAAAAGAGAAGAAGCAGGCATGTCACCGTGCAGGGGGATCATTTGATCATTTTAAGTAACACGAAGCCCTCCACTGTCATGTTTTGTAGATTATATGTAGTACAGCCTTCTAACAGACTGACTCCCAGGAGAGGGCAGCAGCCTACTGACAAGGAAACTGAGAGGGCAGTACCTGAAATTGCCATGCACAACTGTTGTCTTCTGAGATTCAGGAAAATGCAAAGGCAGCCACTCAATGAGTCTCTCCATGGCTGGAATAATGTGAGTTTCCATAGCTCGATACTGCTTTGTCCAGGTATCAACTTGCTGCTGGATGTAATTACCTGTAACAAGGGAATGGAGGCTTTCAGGGAAAAGAACAGGCACAAAGAGGTTTCATAAAAGATACAAAAAAGGTACATGCTGAAACTGTCAAAGAGCCAAGCAGGCCTCAGTCCAGTTCCCTGAGATAAGCAATAAGAGCTTGTCATTTGCAGGGGTCCCATACATTCCGAATTGGGCATTGGATTTGATATTCTGGTGAAAATAATCAAATCCTGGACAAAAATCCTGGACTTTTCATACTTTTTTGGTGGATTTTACATTTACCAGCTCCAAGAAGCAGAGATGGCCCTGCAGAGACACTGGAGGAGCTAAGGAAGTTTGGTCAGAGATGGCAGCAAGCAAGTTACTTCTGCACGTGCAGTACAGCTGTATCTAATGGCACAGAACACTGACCTGGAGAATCCAAAGGAGCTTTCTACACCCTCCCAAGAAGCCTTGAAATGCTGCACATCTTTGCTTTCCCAACCGCCCCTAAGTTTAGCCCAAGTCCTATCCCTTGGACACAAGACAAGAAAACAGGGGCAAAGGATACATAGCCTTCTCTCACCGTGGTCCCCAGAGTCCTGCAGCTTGGCTGCTCTGAGGTCTGTGCTGTGGATCTTGGAGAGAACTTCACTCATGGCAGCATAAATAGCCTGCCGCTGGTTAGGCAGCAGTGTTGGCAGGGAGGCATCCCTGTAGACATGGCCAGCACAGTGCTCCATCAGGTAGAATGGTGTGCCAAGGATGCTGGGGAAGCAAGGTAGAACTGGTGTGTCTGAGGTTAATTCTGTTTCCTACCACTCAGCTGCACCTTGAACGTGCCCCCAGACCTTACCTGCACAGCAAGGTGAGCAGCAGTCTCAAGAGCACTGCTCTCTGAGCACTCGTTTAGCCCAAGGCTGGGCAAATACTAATTAGATCAGTATACTTCATATGTGTACTGACTTAGGAGACTGAGTCAGGAGACACAGCAACTCCTGTGGCAGATCCCATGAGTATTGAGTGATACTAAACCACAGCATACACTACCACAGCCAAGGGAAAGCAGAAGAGAGGGAGAATAACTGTAAACATCTCACCTCCACAAACCAGGACTTTGCTAGGAGTTGCAAACCAGCAAGATCTCATGTTTAAAACCCACAGAATACAGCACTGCTGCATAATCAGCGCAGGAACAAATACTCTCCTCTTTATAAAACTGTTCCTCCCTGCTGTCTGCTCATGCAGCCAGGCCAGGGGTCCTGCCAGGCTCGCAGCTGCCTTTGCATCCCTGGAGTCACTGTGTCTTCGTGGTACACATCCACAAAAACACCTGTTTGCTGTCTGAGGTCTCACATCTGATCCACCCTGGCATAAGCACTCCTCTCTTCTTCCTGGGAGAATGTGGCTGAAGCTATAAAGCCAAAAATGAAAGCTGAGGGGTACGATTACCTTCTGTCCTCACACAGAGCAAGTACAGTAGGAACAGGAACACCAGCCTCAGAGAGTGCCTTCAGTACCCTGCCAGGGTAAGTCAGAGAGCTGTTTCAGCACAGACAGGCATTACAGAATCGATACTAGAACTGTGTTGTTGTTAGGCAGATGCACAATATCTAAAAGAATCAAGTGTTCAGTTTTAAATACATTAAAATGAGATGGCTTGAGATACGGGGAAGAAGCACACCAAAATCTTTGTATGGCCCAGAGCCCTGAGACCTATCCAACAAACTCTGGAAAACACAACAGCCTCCCACAAGTGCCATGCTGTTCTGCTGCTGAGGGAGAGATCTCTGGCACAGCAAGCTGGTTTGCAGCATGACTCCACCAGCAAGAGCTTGCCCTCAGCTAGGCTCCTTGCTGCTCAATTTCAGTGTTGTTGAGCTGCAACCTCTCTCCCACTCAAGGTTCCAGCTGCCATAGCAAGATCCTACTTCCCCTGACATGCTGTGAGAGCTGTGGTGTGCTTTGTGGCTTGGAGGAATCTGCAGAGTAGGAATGCACAGGATGCGTTTCAAAGGCAGAGGGTCCTACCTGCACGCTGCCTTCTCACCTGTATTCCCTTCCAACAGCAGGACCTGAAGGCAGCAGGCTGTCAGGGACTTCCTTCTTCAGCACCAGAGAACGATCTCCAAACTTGACAAAATAGGTCTGGGCAGACTGTCCACAGCCAAACTGCCGCAGCGTCAGCGGACCTGAAGAGTTGAGAGCAGAGGGTCAGCAGACAAAGCGTAAGGTGGGATATTTCTCACCACTTCTCCAAGTTTTACTTTCCATTCCTGTGACTGTGCCTTACAGGTCAGGAATACTCCTGGTATTTCTTCTGCAGATTTTCTCAATGCCTCACAAATAATGAAGTCTTAAAATGTTGCTTTTTGGTCCAACAGTGGTGTGCCACTGAAGCCTGTACGACTGCAATGTTTGCTTGGAGATTAGGAGACTTTCATTAATATTGTTTTTCAATCCATTTTTTTTTATAAAATGGAAAGGAGCAGTAACTCCAAGACATGTGAGCTTTCAGGCTGAAGAGCAAAAGGTGCTGCAATACCTGTTGCCTGGTCACTGAAAACGTTTTCAAGGTACTTTTGCAGACTGTCTTTTGGAATTTCCATGGTAGATCTTACTGAACGAGTATATGGAACAAATCCTTTTAAAGGAAAACCCAGATAGGTTTCCAGCTCTTTGAATGCTACTTCAAGATCATCAACCTGAAAGGAGAAGGGAGGGAGAGACACAGAATGATAGATGATAAAATTGCCTAGGAAAGAAAGAGCTCCACACAGTTGTGGTGCATTTATCTGTGAGTCTAATGGCACTGATACATTTGGACACACTGTGGAATTCACTGGTCAGGTCTGGCCAACACACAGTGCCATTACCAATACTCACAGCCTCTCACCTTGATTGTTGTCCCCAAGAGTGTCAGTTTGGACTGGGGTAAGAGCTGGCATTCCCTGTGTGCCATCCTGGGGAGCAGAGTTCCCACCCATCTCTGACTTATCCTTTCCCCAGCGGTCTCCTCACCAAAGTAAAATGCCTGAACTCACTTTCTCCAAATCTTGAGAGCTAACCATTCCCCTGATGACAGATACATGAAGGCTTAGAGCTTCCTTTGGAAGCTTTGGACTGAGAAACCATACCCTTGGCCTGCTTGCACTGTTTTGTACCTTCACTGTTTTAATACCAAGCTGGGCTGCTGCTTTCAGGTTCTGGCTGCTGTTGTCGAGGAAGATGGATTCCTGAGGCTGAACATCCAAGCGTTCCAAGCACAGCTTGTAGATGCGAGGATCTGGCTTGCACTTTCCTTCCTGATAAGCTTCAACTATCTGTGGTGACAACCAATGGGTTATGCATGAGCCTGCTGTGACCACAAACATCTGTGCAGTTCTGGAAATGGAGGGTGGGAGTGAGACTGACAGGCACGGTAATTTGTGAAATAAAGGACACAGGGAACAGAGGGCTGACAGAGCTGGATAGGATACGATTCAAGTGGCTGCGTGAGTGCCAACTGCCTTGGCTGTGGCTCCATCAGCTCAAATAAGCTAAACAGGACCAGCCAGTCTTTGGACAGAAGATATCCATTGAAACAATATCACAGTATCATGATGTAGAAGACTCAATAGATGTCCCAAATGTGCTGAACCAATTACTCAGTGCTGTCTGAGAAAGTTTTGGAGTACACCACTCTCTGGGAACTATTGAGTCCCAGCCTGAACCACTGATTGAGCACCTGGGGAAAGGACAGTCAGCCCTGGGAGCACACCTGAAGGCAATTCAGCTGTGTGACCAGAAGGGATGGAGCCTGATTGCACCTCTCTTAGACCTCATTTAAGGGCTGGCTGCCACTGGGGAAGGATTTCTTTCTGGAGATTCCTCCTTTGTGGAGTTTTTGTCTGTGAGCCTAGATCTTCAGAGATGGGTGAGCTGTCTTTTTTTCTTCTTATGATATCTTTCTATGGTGTTTGTCCCCTTGTCGTTATACATCTTGTATCACAATTCTGTTGTGTTGATCTTTCTAATTGTTTTAACCATTGCCATCTAAGCTAAAGGGACAAGTTCTGACAACTGCACCTATTAACCATGATAAAGTGATATTTACAGCAGAAGAGGCATTGGCCAAAACCCTCTGTCCAAACTTGGAGACTGACATGAGATCTTCTGATCCAAGTACATGGATCAGCCAAAACAAATTCAAGCAGTACTTCCCCCCACACTGATAGACAACCTATGCTACAGCAAACTATGCATCTTCACAGACTGCCATATTTATATCTACTAACGTGTTGTGGGTGGCCCTTCCTTTGGTATCCATAAGTAAAGAATTTCAGTTGTTCTTTACTATAGACATAGCTTCAGAAATATATTTTACAATCCATCCAGGCTTACCACATCAAAATGTTTTTGGTCCAGGGGCAGAAAGCTCTCTCCATTTGGCAGCTGGAAGCTGTTGCTTAGAAGAGCTATCTTAAGACCTTCTGCATGGATACACTGTATTGCTTCTGCCATTATGGGGAGCTGTTTTATCATCTCACTTCTGATTAAGTTGGTGAGGAAAGAGTTCACTGGAACACAGATATTTGCCTGCAAAACCAGAGAGCCCCCCCAAGAATGGTAATTAGCCATAAACAGTTTTTAAGCAGGGAAGAAAATAAGAGTGACTGGGTAGATAGGCTGCCTGATTGTCTTATCTTGCTGTCCTACTTCCCTTGGCAGCAGGAGGCAGACAGTCAATCTCCCACCTAAATTGCTTAGCCCAAAGAAATGGGCATTCTCAGATTACTGATTCTATAGAAGCACCAAAGCTAAGGGGCTGATTTTTGGGAACAAGAAATGTGCTAGGACTGTGCCTGTCATGGAATCAAGGCAGGTTGGAGGTAAACACTGGAGTACCATTTAACAGGCAGGAAAGGAATCTGCATGTTTGAATCAGCTGATTCAAAAAGACTGCATTAAAAAGAGGATTCTGATATGATGTTCCTGGAGCTGGCAAAAAAAACTATGGTGGAGGAGCTTCTACCGGTCTTAAGAAATCTCTACTGAGACCAGTCTCCACCCATTGAGTATGTTTGTGCACCAGCTAGAAGCAAAAGCCTTTCAGCTGCTCTCTGATTTGTGCTCCTTGGTATCAAAAATTATGAAACAGAAGAGGAAGCTGGTGGAAGTGAATGTATATTCTGCTCACCATCCTGCCTTGGCAGCAGAATGATAGCAGCAGTGAGCTGCCAGCCCTATTGAACAGTGATGCTTCTTTCCAGAAGCTTCCATTGAAGGATTTCCTTTAAAATTACAATCCTCACCAAACCACCAGCTTCCTATGTTGCAGGGTCCCATTTCCTTGTAGTCAGGAAGCACAAAGAGAAGGGTGGGGATGTGGCTTACAATCTCAAAGCACTGCTGTCCCAATTCCTGCAAAAACTCCACAGTCGTCAGCTCTCCTCTTGTGTACTTGAGAGAGAGGCTGTTTTCCCCTCCAGAGTGCAGAGCTTGTTGGACGGTGCCGGCTGGAATACAATTCTGGGCCTCCCAGTCTATATAGGAAAAAAGTAAGAAAGCCAGGAGAGAGCACATATGGCACTATCAGAACTGGGAAACAAGCTTGAAATTCCTCGACAGCTCTGAAATTTGATGTGTAAGACCAGCACTCGTGAGAACTGATGTGATGGGCCTCATCTCTACTTCTGGTGTACAGCCAGTTCTGTGAGAGTCCTGCGGCTCAGCTGCGGTTGGGCCCTGAGCTGCACAGGTGTCAACGCAGCCATCAGTGCCAGCACTTCTAATGGTGCAACTGGGAACGCCGGGCAGCAGCACCACCACACCGCTGCGTGGAGGTGTCGGATGGAGGCGTGAAACGCATTTTGTGCACGTGTGCAGCAGCCCAGGCCAAAGGAGATGTGAGCGTACACACCTGCGGCTGTGTGCCGGGGGGATGGGAGCAGCACCCCGCTCACATCGAAGATCACAGCTCCATACGGGCTCCAGCCTGACCGCAGCCGCAGCCCCGGGGACAGCAGGATCCCGGCCCGGCGCAGGAAAGGGGCGCAGGCAGCACTGCTCAGGAACATGCTGGGCCTGAAGGAGAGAGCCGTGAGAGCCGCGGGGAATCGCCAGTGCTGCCCTCTGGGGAACGGGAAACCGGCACGGCGGGCCCCGAGCGCCGAGATACGAAAGCAATGGGGAAGGAAATGCTTTGGCGGCGCTGCGCAGAAGGGAACGGGGCCCGCCCCTCCGTGCAGCGTGCCGCTGTGCTGACAGGGCCCGCAGCTGCGCCACAGCCGGCCGTGACGGGGTGTCACCTCCCGCCCCTCTGCGGGCACGAGGCACGGAGCGCCGGGCGCCACTCGGCTCCCAGCCCCGACCGCAGCCCGCGCTCGTCAGGCAGCGCGGCGCCAAGGCTCGCGAGAACTCACGGCTAAGTCTCGCGAGGAGCAACGGTGCCGAGCCCACTCCGAGCCCCCTCCTTCGGCTCCTTCCGGCTCCGTCCGGCTCTCTCCGCCGCCCCCTTACGTCATCGCGTCGGCGGCGTGACCCCGGCGGGGTGAGAGGGCAGAGGTGCGCGAGGCGGAAGCGGCGCTCAGTCTCCGTCGGGCGGGGAGCGCGGCGCGGCGGGCCCCGCGGTGCCGGGCCCATGAGCGTGTCGCTGGTCGTGATCCGCCTGGAGCTGGCCGAGCTCTCCCCGCTGCCCGCCGGCTTCGCCTACAGCGCGGCCGGTGAGTCGGTGCCCCGGGGCCGGGAGCGCCTCGGCGGGGCGGGGGCCGGCGCCGCGCTCCCGCTGATCCCCGTCTCGACGCTTTCTCCTCCCGCGCAGCTCCGGAGATGGCCGCGGAGAGCAGCGGGGCGATCCCGGCCTGCTTGGAGGGGAAGGGCCCCGGCGAGAGGGCGGCCATCCTGCACCAGCACCTGGGCCGCAGGGAGATGACCGACATCATCATCGAGACCATCCAGCCGCGGGCAGGTACCGGCACCGGGCGGGCCGTAAGTCGCCCGTGGGTGGGGAGATCGAAGGCAGGAAGGCGGATGTGCCAAGGCTTGTTGCCGTCGGAGGAGCTGGGAAGGGTGGGGGTTGGAGAGATCCCTTGTAGCCCCCGAGGTTCTGTCGTTGTGTGGAAGCTGATGGCGGTGCGAATTGGATCTCGTCTGGCACGGCAGAGTTCTGAGTCTGCAGCGTTGTGTCAGGCTGTGCTTAGAGAGCTGTAGGTATTTCTCGTGTGTGGTTGGTAATCAAAGCTTTTGTTTGGAAAGATGAAGCAAAAGCTGCCGTGGAAGCGAGAAAATCTTTAGAGGCTGCGTCGTCTGAGGACAAAACTAAACAGGATGATCAGAACAAAGAGTGTGAGGCTGCTCCAGACTCGCCTTCAAAACAGCTCCCTGACCAGATTTCCTTCTTCAGTGGGAATCCATCGGTTGAAATCGTTCATGGCATTATGCATCTGTACAAAACAAAGTAAGAATGCTTGACTAATTGTAGCTCTAGTGGGAATGGCACTCATGAGTAATGAGGTCATCCGGAAGGGTGAGCTGCTCACCCTGGGGCTGTGGCTCCTGAGCTGGCTGTGCAGGGACAAACAGGAAGGGTGTCTTACACCCACACTGCCACCAGCCTTGGGGAAAGCTGGGGCTTGGGTCTTCTGGCTGTGGGCAGCACTTCTACAGGTAGCGTGTGTGCCAAGGAGCTGTAAGAACATGAGGTGAGCGTGGGTTCCTAGCAGTGCAGCTTCTTGAGGCATCTCAGAGTTAAACTGTTATCTCCAGGGTTTTGGCTGCATGCCTGAGCGACTTCTCTGAAGTGGGAGCTTTTATTCTGTATTTCAAGGATTACAGTTCTATGCTCTTCCCTTCTAATTGCATGAGAAATTCCGCTTTGGGTCGTCCTGAAAGCTACCGGACACAAAAGGAGCATTTGAAATAGTAGCAAGGGCTGTTCATTTGTTAAAGGAATAGTTGTGAGCATCTGTGACTTGCCAGGTTCAGCTGTTTTTTAGAGAAGACATGACAAAGCCATTGTTGATTGAAGCTGCCCATTTTAATACTTTGCTGAGGAGTAACGGTTTTACGTGGGCATTTTAGGCTCCTACCTCAGCCTTTTCTTCTTAGCATTTACAAATGTGCAACAGAGGGTTTGGATTGGCAATGAAGTTATCCTGGTAACTGCAATTGTTGGAAGTGTGGTGTACCCAGCTTTGACCTCTCTGGAATGATGTGATGCTGTGTAACTGTTGTCTTACAGCAAGATGACCTCTCTAAAAGAAGACGTGAGGCGCAGTGCCATGCTGTGTATCCTCACAGTCCCTGCCACGATGACCAGTCACGACCTGATGAAGTTTGTGGCTTCCTTCTATGAAGTTATTGAGCACATGAAAATCATCCGAGACTCCACTCCCAACCAGTACATGGTGCTGATAAAGTTTAGCTCCCAGGTAAGACCTGGAAGTCCCTTTGCCATAGAGAGAACTGCAGTTCCTTACAGCTGCTGTGTAGGAGGGCAGTCCTTTCTTGTTGCCCAGCACTTTCCTGGGGCTACTGACTGAGATTTATCTCACACCTTGTCCTGCAGACAAGTGTGTGTCATGTTCTGTATCCCCTATTTCTTGTTGGTAGGACACTTAAAACTATTAAGCACATAAAAACAAACCACCTCTGCTACCTCAGCACGTGTTTGCAGACAGAGTGGTGTTGTGCTTTGCTGAGCAGAAAGAATGCAGCCAGTGGCACTTTATATTTTAATAAACTTTTCTGAGGAGTGAGATGATGGCTTAGCCACTGCCAGTACAGTGTGAAAAGGACAGCCTGCCCCAAAACGGGCAGCATGGGAGTGAATGGATATGGATAACACAGGGTGCTGCTTACAGGTATTCCCCCATTATGTTCTACGTGGACTCTCTCCTGTATTTTCCTTTATGGGGATTTCAGAGAAGTTTTGGTCAACTCTTTCCCTAGCTGTGAGTGCTGCATGAGACATTGTCCATGCCTGTTGTGTAGATGCAGTATTTGAATGCAATCTGTGCTACTTGCAGCAGTTGCAGAGATGTGTTTTGCATACTGTTGTACAAAATGTGGTGGACAAATACCTAGTGTTGAGCAGCCTTGCATCAAAGCATAAAGCCGTAGTCAGTTCCCCCTGAAATTGCAGTTACTTCAGAAACTTCCTGAAGCCCTGTTCCCCAGTGACCCCTAATGGCTGTCTCTATATGCAGCAAAAACAAATCTTGTGTGCCTTTGTGTACCTGGCTCGAGTGATTAGGAGTAGGGGAATGTGGTGCTCAGCTCATTTTTTCTCAGCCTGGTGAGATCCTGTGCCAGGTGAAAGGGAGGTCGCTGAGTGAAAGTGGGTGACATCTGTTAGATTTGATTTTGGTTCTGAATTGTTCCTGATGCAGTGGATCTTTTCCCACAGTTGAATTGTTTTTTTCCCTGACACAAATATCAGTGTCCTGCAATATCACCCTCTGAAGTTTTTGCACAGAAACCAAATTTGCTTTGCAAATGTGCTGAAATCACTGACAAGAAGCAAAACAGATGCTGAAAGGAAATCTGTCATTCCTGCTGAATACTCTGATATCAGAGTAACCGTCATTGCTGTCAGCTTTGCTTCTCATCTTCAAGTGGTAGCACTAAACCCAGTGCCAGGATGCGATGCCTGCTGGTTCTCTGAAATTTCTCCTCTGTTATTATGGGACCTGGTGGAGAGAAGAAGCAGGGATACAGCAGATGTCTCCTCCTCCCTGTCTTGTCAGCTGTGTGCTTTTTCTTTCAACAGCCTTCCCTTGTTTTGTGCACAGGCTGATGCAGATAGCTTTTACATGGCGTGCAATGGTCGGCAGTTCAACTCCATAGAGGAGGATGTTTGCCAGCTCGTGTACGTGGAAAGGGCTGAAGTCTTCAAATCAGAAGATGTAAGTTTTTATTTTGTTTTTCTTTCTTCTGGACTTCAGAGAGTTCTAACACGATTACTTCTTCTGAGCAGAACACTGCAAGAAGTGTTTAATTGTATCAGTTTGAAATCTGTTTCCTGTTCCAGTATTGTTTCTACATGGAAAGGCTGTTTGGTGACTTCTATAGGCTTTAGGCCTCATTGTTGCAGCATCTCTGACCCAAACCTGCCAGTAGCAGTGATCCAAAAAATGTCATGGGGCTGTGGCAGCCGCAGCAGCCACCTCACCCTGTGCTCTGATGGGGCTGTGCTCTGTTGAAGGCTGTGGATTGCTTTTTACCTTGGTAAATTTGTAACCACTATATAGATTCACAGGATTACTTTGTACTGTACCCTAGTGCTGGTGGTAATGAGAGAGAAGTTCGACTTTCTATGCAGGTGCTTAATTTATGGTGATTGGAGGGTGCTGAGCAATTTGTCTCTGCTTGTTCTTTTGAAGGGGGCCAGCCTGCCTGTGATGGATCTGACAGAGCTCCCAAAGTGCACGGTGTGCCTCGAGAGGATGGATGAGTCTGTGAACGGGATTCTTACCACTCTGTGTAACCACAGCTTTCATAGCCAGTGTCTGCAGCGGTGGGAGGACACCACGTAAGAGGCTTTTCTTTATTTCCACATCAAAAACTCTGTTCTGAGTGTGGTGGCTATATGCTGACAGGACCGGTTTTTCTCATCACAGTGTGGGGGCAGGAATTACTGCAAGTCTTAATACTTTTTCTTTCCTATTAAGAGACTTGCAGGGAGAAATCTAGCCAAAAGTAATTGAACACTGTTTCCCACGGGCCTCACTGCTAAGACAACAGGGCGGCTGCACAGTAATGCAAATCATTTCCAAGTATTGTAGGCTAAAAGGACTGGTCCTGATTCCATCCTTTGCATCTCCATAGATGGGATTTCAGCATGTTTGAACTCCTGACTGGCACCCAGGCGCTGCTATCAATTGTACACAGCTAACATTTCTCCGGCTGCTGTTTGCTGCTTTACTGTGCATCAGGCAGTCGTAGCTTCTGCAGCAGAGGGCTGTTTTCCTCTGTTTCTGGTGCCTGATTCATTGATAGAGAGTGAGGGAAATTTTAGCCCTGAGCTACAATAACAGAACTTCAGTGGGATTAATCAGATTTGTAGCTGTTCATGTTTGTTTGCTATTTACCCTGTAAATGGAAACCAGTTTGAATTTGAAGCGATGGAGCTCAGCCAACATAGGAGCAAAATCCAAAATAGCACTTAAAGATCTGATACACAATTTAAGTGTGGTCACAGCCTACGAAAATGGTAGAAGGAAATCCTTGTCCACTTTGCTTAGGTGCCTTGGAGACTGTAAGTGCCTGAATTTGTATGGAAAGCTTACTGCAATCCAGGTATATTCTCCCTGGAATATTTCTGTAGCTTTTCCAGTGGTTATTGAAAAATACAAAGAGCCCTGGCAACAGGATCCAGAGTTTGAGTTACTGCTCCCTTGTCCAGGCCCCAGGCACTAGAAACTCAGCAAAGGCTCTTTCTGGTGTTCAGTGTTGTTTCTTGCAGCACAGTGGTATTGTTTCAAAAGAAATGATAGGGTGCTTGTTATAGATTCTTTCGGGTAGAGTTATGGGGCATTCCTCCCAGAAAGGCAAGCCTGAATGCATTGGATTATAGTGAAATTGAAGCACGAGTGTTCACCTCCTTAGGAATGTTTCAATACTGAGCAGTGTTGTGAAGTGTAAGCACCTCTGTCTGTAGTTACCTTCCACAATGGCGTGCAGCTGCTGCATAAAGCTGCAGATAATGGAGAATATCCAGGAAATCAAGTGACAACAGGAAGTCAAGTTTGTTTCTTATGTGATTGAACTGCCTTCATTTAATGAGAAGGCTGTGGAAGAACCCTGCTAAGGCTTGGATGTTGCTCTGTGCATACCACTCCATAGAGCACCAACCCTGTTCTTGTCTTATCTGCTGTTTTTGAAGACTAAGGTGCTTGTTATGATCACGGCTCTCAACTGAAAATGCTGTCAATTGGCAGTAGTCCGGAGGAGCAGTGTTTGAACAAAGTGCTTTTTGCAGTGTTTATGGCTGAGGGCTGTTTTTTGAACTCAGCTGTGACTCTTCTGCTTACTAGCAGAAGCTGAGGTCACTGCCAGCCAAGCTGACGCTTCTGGTTGCAGATGTTTTCTACACCTGGACTGCAGCAAAACCAGATAAAACTGAGACTATTGAAATAGCTCTGGAAGATCTGTTATTTCTTCTGTTACTTACTGGCTGAACAACAGTAGCCTTATGGGGAATGGAAGCAAGTTCAGGAGGGGTACATGGGAGCTGTAAGATACGTGCACACAGGGAGCATCCCACACCATAAGGCATTCACTTTGAGCTCTTTGGCTCAGTTTTTAATTACCCTGATCTTAAGATGGAGCTCTGTGTGTCTAATCTTGATGCTTATTGCCCTCTAGGTGTCCTGTCTGCAGATACTGCCAAACGCCAGAGCCAGTGGAAGAGAACAAATGTTTTGAGTGTGGAGTTCAAGAAGTAAGTAGGTGGGTGGATGGTGAGTGAGATCTAGACTAGATCTGACTGCATAGCTGCTCTAGTTGCTTTTGAGGTTAATTCTGTGGCTGCTCTCAGGTTGTTTTTACCAGTCAGTGGTGTATCTGCTTTCCTTTTGAGTTGGAATTGGTTCTTGGAAGGGATGTTACCTGCCAGGTTTCCTGCCCTGACAAATGTTTCCAGTTCTTAGAAAGCATCAGTGCATCAGCTGATCAGTGCGTGTGGTAGCAGGAGGCTGAAGTAACACGATGCTGCCTTCTGGTCTGCTCTCTTTGGCACATGCTTTGGTGCTCCTGTCAAATTGCCATGTTCATTAATCAAAGCCCTTCTTCCATCTATGCTTGTGGTAGTCTGTCAAGGTGCCTGGCATCTGCAAGCTCATAATTGGCAAGGATGAGCAAGTGCTTCCTTCTCTTTAATATTCCAGCTGAGCAAAGCTTCCAAAGAGGAGGAAAATGCAGCTCACTCTGTAAGGAAGCGACTGGATGTGTGCAGTGTCTGGAGCCCGTTGGTTTCAGATGGTGTCTTCTCAAGCAATCATACTGCTGTTTGACACTCTTGCATGGACAGAGCTTTCTCTTTCTTTTGACAGAACCTCTGGATCTGTTTGATATGTGGGCACATAGGCTGTGGCCGGTATGTGAGTCGCCATGCCTACAAGCACTTTGAGGAGACCCAGCACACCTATGCAATGCAGTTGACCAACCACAGAGTCTGGGATTATGCTGGAGGTAAGCACTCTGTCTTCCCCGCCTTGTTTGTAGAACAGCTTTTGGGACCCTGTAGTTAAGAGTATTTGTGATGGTTTGCTTGCAGTCTGCATCTATCCCAAAACCTTATCTCTTGGGAACATCCATCTGCTCTCTAATCATAGTTTTTGTGGGTCTGTAGCATATGAGAGGCTCCATGATGAATTGGAGGGGTCCTGTATCCTCTGTGAAATGTGTTTGTTATTCCCTTTCCATCAATTTGCCCTGAGGTATGAGAGCAGGCTGTTGTAATAAATATCCCGTAAGGTGCCTATGCAAAGTCTGTTAAATAACAAATACATCTGTTGTTGGCTTTCTGCCTTGCTAATACGCTGTTGCAGCAGTCTGCATAGTTAATTGTGCTGCATAAAGTGTTTCCACTGGTGTCAACCTGGGTGTTCTTAAGCAAAAACTCCCTTTGGTTGAATTTTCTCTCTTCAGATAACTACGTCCACCGACTGGTTGCAAGTAAAACTGATGGGAAGATAGTTCAGTATGAGTGCGAGGGAGATATGTGTCAGGAAGAGAAAATTGATGCCTTACAATTAGAGGTAAATATTTTGGGTTGTTGAACTCTGCTTTGTGCTGCTTGTGGAAATGTTTCAAATCAGATATGAGTACAAGAAAGTGACATCAGCTTATGCAGCAGACTTGCTCCCTGCATGTAGGCAATCATCTTCAGGCAGAAACAAGATATCTTTACTACTTTTTTTTTTTTTAGTCTCCTCTTGGCTCTGCAGAGCCAATGCAGCTGAGAATGAGCTGGCTGCAGTTTCCTCCTGTGTTCACCAGTAGACTCATGATTAGCTGGTTATGCTGCTACAAACGTTGAGGTCATCTGAAAGAGAAGTGGGTCTGAATGTCCTGATGCACTTGGCAGACCCTTCCTAAAGGACCTGTGACTTGACTTAAAGCCTGGGATGGGTATGAAACTGTAATTTTACTTGTGAACTGAGCAAGGATGTAGGAATCTGTAACTGTGTGCTTCCTTTGGCTATCAAGGAAAGCTGACACGTTTGTCTGACACCAGCCCTGTTCTGCTCCCTTTCCTTCAACAGTGATTTTTTTTATGGCTGTTGGCCACCTTCTCTCACACTAACGAGACGGTGAAAGAAAGCCTCACACAAGTTTTCCCTCACCAGTGATCTATTTTAAAGGAAGAGAAACTCAAATTACTGTTTTAGTGAGCAGATATACTGCAGCATGACTTCAGCCACACAAGACACAAGGATATCTGTAGAAGAGAAACCCATAGAGACCAGACTTTGTAAGCCTGCTGCTCAAATAAATATTTGTTTACACTGAAAAATTCATGGAACAAGTAATATTTGGATGTGAAAACATCTATTTTTAACCCTTTTTGCCAAGAGGTCAGTGCTTAAAGCATGTAAAAGATCTCTCTGTCTGGCTTTTGAGATCTAAATGTTTGCAGAGAGAATGAATTTGGCAGCGTGTTTTGGCTCTCTGATATTACTTAGTGTATTCAGGGCTTTTTGCACACGTTTGATTCCATGGTGAATTCCTAATGTGCTGCTGCTTAGCTTGATGGTAAGAAATAATCACGTTTTCCAACCTTCTCATAACTCATTTGCAGAACCAGGAGTGAAAAGGTGGGATGTAAGGCATGTATCCATGTTCAAATGCTAGTGTAACATTGGAATGGGCCATACTTACTGGAGAACAGTAACTGTGTAGGGCTATGTGCAGCTGGAGATGCTTTGTCAAAGGCTTTCTTAGAGTGAAGCTAGACTTGTTCATTTACTCTCCTCCCTTGGGCTTTGGGGTATAAATGGGGAACTCCCATTTGGGAGCCCTTGGGGTCTTAGGCTCTCTTGACAGAGATTATTGATGATTTTTTTCCTATGGCGTGTAAGATTTGGAGCCTTGTTAATACAATGAAAAATCTGTTTCTGTAAAAAGTTTATGGCACGATGGTGGAACTTTGACTTGATCCTTGCCATTGTGCTCTAAAGGCTTTACTTGATTTCAGAAAATTGAGCGGTTTGATTCTGAAATCCAATTGCTGCAACATATCTGCTGGATCTGCAATTTGCACATATGTTCAGACTGCCCTCTATGCTTAATTTCATTTGATTAAATTGATTTTCATATTGAAGCCCTTTGGGCTTCTTAATCAGCATAGCTACCCTTATGGAAAAGCTGACTGTTCTGTGTGTATCTTCTGTGTTTACAGTACTCATATTTGCTAACAAGCCAGCTGGAATCACAGAGAATCTATTGGGAAAACAAGATTGTCCGAATAGAAAAGGATACAGCTGAAGAGGTGAGCTCTGCTCTCTCTGAGCATGTGTGGAACGCTGCTGGCACGGGGCCCTGGACACTGTTTAATGGGAGACAGAGCTGCTTGCTCTCACACAGCCCGAGTGCTGCGTGACGTGACCTCGCGTAGCCTGTTTCACTACCAGCTGAGAAAATTGGCTCTGAGATGTATTCTTTATCTGGATGCTCAGATCTAGCAATTTGCTGCTCAGTGGTGCAGAAGCAGGTAGATTGCCACTTAGATTTAAGGTTGATTTAAATGTGCTGCTCGGGAAACTGCAGCAGTGCTGAAAACGAGTCTGTGCTGCTGCAGGATCCCTGCTTGCTGATGCCATCACTCACCCTGGCGTGTTTCTCTAGGGAAGGTTAGCATTAGCAGAGACAGTATGACTTTAATTTGCTCGGCTGTCTTTCTACTCCAAATGCATATTGATTTGCCCTTTCTTTGTGATCCCCTGCCTCTCCTCATCACCCATTGGGAAAAGTTCACAGTCTCCTCTTATAAAGCATTCTGTAGGCAGGACTGCTTCAAAATGTCATGAGCAAAAATCCAGAGAGAATATTTTAATGCTTTTTACTCTATGTAGATAATTCCAACTAGGTTTAAAGTGAGATTTAGGGCTGAGTCCTTATTTGAACTTTCTGCATAACTTCTAATTAACCATGTAGTATCTGCAGTTAAACAATATCCTAAATGCATAAGTTATGACCATTGAAATAGTGATCGTTGACCTTGGTCTGAAGAGCAGGCCCAGAAATCTGATGGATTTCTTGAGGAAAGAAAAAGCTATAGGAAAAATTGTCTTGTGCGTGACCAGGAAACGTGATCTACAAAGCAGCTGTGAAGTGAAACGTCTATATTATACATATGGAATGTGGTTTCGTGTTTAAAGATCCTTACAGTTCTATTCGTGGCACTCAAGGCATGCAGGTCTTGTCTGGATCAGTGCCACAATGCAGTGTATTCCATTATCACTGCTCATGCTACTTCCCCAAATTAACCATCAGCTGCATAAACATTCGGTGATTAAGGCCGGAAGGCTTAAAACCTGTTCTGCATTGACTCTGGCATCAGTGAAGGTGGATCCAGATTGATCCTCCAGAAAAGCATTTTTCCTTCAAATTCCCATCTCCAGTACGTGCAAGTGTACTTTTGACATTAAAAGAGGGGAAGAGTGTATTTCCAACTATAAATCTTCTAAGGTAAGGCTTAAAGGAGTTTAGATGTGTTCCGTGTGGTGCCTAGAGAGTGGGAGGGTGGTTCTCTTCAGCAGCAGCGATCTCTAGTTTTGAAGTAGAGAAGAGGAAGTGAACGTATGTGTGTTTCTATTTGCGTTGTGCATGAGCAGGGTATTCATGTCAGTAGGTCACTGTCTTACGGCAGCACGCTGCTGAGTCAGTGCTGAGTAAAGTAGTGTGTTCATTTTCAGACTTTGACCATATTTATTTGAGGTTTCGTTTAAAATGAGCAAGACCTCAGCGTTGTAAAGCTCTCACGTGGAAATTTAAGACAGAGAACATCTGAGAGAATGGATATATAAATGCTTCATTAAGATGAGAATCTGGTATCGCTTCTCTTCTTTTTCCTCTTTTTTTGTTTCCTTATGAATGGGGCTCCTGGCGCAGGTTTGCAGATGGAGTTACTGTTCTGTATGAGCAGCTTCCACGGCAACGTGGTTCCATGTTGGGGTACTGCAAGGTGTAATGCAGAGGGTCTTAAACAAAATTAAGCTTTCTGGTCTCAAAACCTTTGCTTACCTGGATACAATAATTGGTCAAAGTCTAGAAAGCACACCAGAAAAATGAATGTCATAATGAAAGTGCACGGGACTTTGATCTGTTTGAAATGCCTGTGTGTTTGTTTTTACAGATTAACAACATGAAGACCAAATTTAAAGAGACCATTGAGAAGTGTGACAGTCTGGAACAGAGGCTGAATGACTTGCTCAAAGAAAAGCAGTCTGTCGAAAGGAAGTGGGTACTGCTGCCAGGTTTAGTTCCATGCAGCCATTAACACTCTGCTTGCCGACATCTAAAAAGAAAAAGTCTTGCTATTCCTGAGCAACTTTGAGCTATTTAAAATGTTATACTGAGAATGCTGCTTTTTTTAATAAAAAGCTGTAATTTCTGTAGGTGTTCACACATTGGAAGTGCCGTTGAGTGGAATGCAGCTTTGGGGCCCATGGCTCTTTTAACACGGTCTGCATATTTAGCATTCAGCAATCCTTCCTCTGCCCGCTCAGAAGCAGATGCCAGTCTGTTCTGCAATTGGCAGATATGTCCAGAGAGAAGAAAGGCAGCCCCACAGAGGCAACTCACCCAGCACAGAGAAAAACGTAGATGTTAGGAAATGTCAATTAAAGGATGTCGGGCACAGAGGGTGTGAGGATCAGTGTGTTCCAGCTCCCTAGGTGGGACTGTGTGGTCTGTTCTTCCCAGCCCACCAGGACCCAAGCTAAGATCTGAGTGGTCTTGGGGCTGGAGACAGCTGTGGAGACCATTTCCCTAAAGATTGGAAATAAAAGGGCTGCAGTAATGTTTGATGTAGGTGTAACAGACTGCTTTCCTGACTTGTGCTCCTCTTTGTAAGGTGTTCTCAGCTGAATAACAAAGTGGCTAAGCTTTCCAATGAGCTGAAGGAGGAGCAGGAACTGAATAAGTGTTTGCGAGCAAATCAAGCCTTGCTTCAGAACAAGCTAAAGGAAGAGGAGAGAGTGTTAAAGGAAACCTGTGAGCAGAAGGACCTGCAAATCTCAGAGATCCAGGAGCAGTTGCGAGATGTCATGTTCTACCTAGAGACGCAACAGAAAATCAATCACCTCCCAGCTGAGACCCGGCAGGAGATTCAGGAAGGACAGATCAACATTGCGGTGGCTTCTTCTGCCAGCTCCTCCACGGGGGGCACAGGCAAGCCTTCTTCCCGGAGAGGCCGTGGCAAGAGGGGTAAATGAAGATCAGAATGCTGCTCCCATGCTGAACCTGGCCATGCTTGTGGTAGGCCAGGCCCAGCCCTCGGACTCCAGTTGGGAATGCCTAGTTCAGTAAAGCTCAGCTAGAAATTGTCTTCAGAGCTTCTCATAAAACTGGCTGCCAGTCACTGGAGGTGTCTGTGGTATTTAAAAGCATTTCACTGCACTGTTTAGCTATTTTTAGGCAGATCTTAATGACCGTTTTGCCTTTCTACCTTTTTAAAGCCACTCCTGTCATGCATTTGACTTTCTTCTTGGCGAGTTTTCTGGGGTCGGCGGGTGTACACATGTTTGAACATTGCATTTCCTAAGGGGATACTGTGGAGTAGGCTATGCACAGTGTATGAGATTTCTTGAGTTCTTTTCCCATTTCTGGATTGAAAGTATTCTCAATATTTTTTTTATTTAAGAAATAGTGTAAATTAAGTTACATCTTTTTGTGTGTGCAGTCCAGGCACTGTACAACAGTGCAGGAGTGGAACTGTGTGGGAGGTGTGGAGAATAAACCATCTTGGTGGTGTTAGATGCTAAATGAGTCCTCCAGGCTTGTAATCTAGGATATTAAACACTTGAAGGGACTTTATCACCATCCGTTCCTTTGTTTTAGAGATGGCCTTTGGAAGGACAGTGCTTACTGCCTTTGAGAAAACATAAGATGGCCCTTTATTCTGGGAAATGTTTAACATGGTAACTCCATAGGCACTTCTACAAATTAAATGGAGCCGTCCTTGTGAAGATGGATGCACACTGTGTTTAATGGCTGCCAGAGTGCTATGATCCGCCTGGACCGGGTGCGTGTGCATTCCCTCTTAGCTTCAGTAGGATTACATTGGCATTGGTTGTAGTGCTGTCCTCAGAGTCAGGTGAGAATATCAACGCAGTGTTACTGAAACCTTACTTCCTACCTGCCCGCAGCCAGCCTTAGTGCTGCCCACCTGCCCTGCGAGCAGACCCTCACTGCTAGATGCAGCTGTTGTATCTGGTTACTGTGATCACTCAGCGCTGCATCTTCTGCTCTGGAATGTTGCTCTGCCCAAAATTTTGGCTGGCAGAACTTTTGTGTTATTTGCACAAAAAGTAAGCCAACCCCCTAAGAGAAATCTGTGGACAAATCCGTTTTATTTTTTTCTTTTTTAAATTCCACTTAGAATATATACCAGACTGGACACTGGGGTGGGGACGGTTTTACCACGATTGGAGATGTGACTGTCCTGGTTGCTGTGTTGTGCTCAGCAGTCTGAGCGTTTCAGCATTAATCCTTTGTTAAAAGCAGCTGAGGGAGTCATGCCGTTGTCCTTTCAGACCATAGTATGATCTCTTTCCGTTGTTAGAACTGCAGCAACCTTGATCTTAGTCTGTAACACTGAAAAATCAAGATCTGACTTGCTAGCTCTAAACTGGAACAAAGAAGAAAGACACCTAGTCCTAGAAGCTGTTCTTCTTGGCCAGGCAGAAAGAACGAGTTACAATAAATAGAATGACTCTCAGAAGGTGAGTCTTTATAATCTGCTTCCTGACTTTATTGACTGGAAGTGTTAAGCTTCCTCACTTTGAAATACACGGCGCTTGTTAGTGCACTCATTGCATCCACTGCTTTGGTTTGAAGATCTGCCCCAACCATCTGGAACTTTGACCTTTTCTAACTTTGTAGCATGAATGTACACTAACTCTTTTCTAGTGTGTGGATTGTACAACCAGGCCTCTGCCTTCTGTAAATTATTCTAAGGACTTAGATATGTACAACACAGCTTGCTCTCCTACAGAAACTATTTTATTTAAGATATATTTTTACACCATCTCAAGATCCTCCAACCTTTTGCTGAAAGCTTGCCTTGTGTAGAACACTAAGATGCTGTACTGTATCTTGGAATTCATTTTCAAAAAAGTGATTGAAAATTAAAAGAGCGTGCGGTACGTTTGTTTGTGTTAGCTGGAAGTGGAGGGATGAGATGGCAGGAAAGTGCCAAAATGTGCCCTGTTCTTCTGAAGCCTTCTGCTTGAAGGCAAAACTGTCCAAACAAGCTTCTTGTCACGTTTGGGCTGGGAGGAAGTTTGGTTCAGCTGAGCTCATAGGAGCAGGTAAAGCAGTGTTGTTACCTCCAGCTTGGCAGCGGGCAGCTTGTGCAGGGAAAGCAAGGGTTGTTGAATATTTCTGCAGTGCATTAATGCATCACCAGTCCTTGAGGAGTCCCTTCTAAAATCTTGCCAGATGTGGGTCCCTGCATTGGGACTGTGTACTGGCTGCGGGCCAGAAGCAGTGCTGATGTGATGTGAGGCATGCAGGGCTGTGGTGAGAGGAAGAGACTGCTCTGTGCCCTCAGCCATCGCCTGGACACCCAAGTGCCAGGAGGCAGCATTGGCTCTCGCACCTCTCCAGTCTACTGTAGAGTTTTGGCATCTGCAGCTCCAACATCTGGTCAGATTTGCAGTTGATGATTCAGTAGCACCACAGTCAGAGGGTGCACTGAGCAGCTGAGATTGGCCATGCTCCTGCTGTGATTAAGAGCCTGAAAATAGATTTTATATATGTATTTCTAAAACCATGAAGGAAAACTCTCCACCACTGAACAGTGAGGGGGTCATACCATCTCCTCTGCTGCTGTTGGAGAGGAGTGAGAACCGGAAGTTGCACGAAGCTTGGCAGAGCCTTCGTTTGGAGGATGATGAAATGATTCACTCCAGCAGCTGTTTCTGAGAGAGCAAGGGGGTGACAAGTTGGCATGTTTCTCAGTGTCCCTTTGTGGTGCAGGGCCAAAGTGGGCTACAGGCTGAAATGTTCTGTGTTTCCCATGCAGCACATGACATGGTGGCTTTGGGTCATTTGAACTGACACTGCAAGGAAGAAGCAGCGATGTGCTGGGAAAGGCAGTGCCCTCTGCTCACCCTGCTGGTGGATCTTCATAAGTGCTTTTGGGGCAGCATCCTGCAGAGCCCATACTGGTGCAGCCCAGCTGGATGTGGGTGATGGGTTTTGGGGTGATGGACCTCACTGCCAACACTTTGCTGTGCGCAGTTCTAGGGACTCGCTGGTTTTCCAGTGGGCTTGTTTGCACTTTGGGAAGAATGCATCTCTTAACACCAATTAATCCCCTCAGTGATGCTGGCTTTGCTCTTATAGGAGCTGAAGTCCTGGATAAAGGGGACATCTCCATGGTTTGTGCCCTAGGAAAACCCCATGCAGGGGCATTTGTAGAGCAGATTTGTCTGTTCGCTTGAGCACGACAGACATGCAGTGCTGCTGGTGTCCCTTCAAGGGTGAGCAGCACTACTCTCCACTCCCTTTATCTTTCCATCAGAGCTGAAATCCCTAAGGCCCTGTGGAAAATTCCTGCCTTGATTTGCACCAACCAACGTGTTCATTCTCGTCTGAGTTGAGATAGTTACAGTGATCTCTCCTGTGCTTTTTTTCCCCTCCTTTTGGTCTAATAACAGTGTTTTAAAGGCAAACCCATCCAAAATGGACCCTGTGCCGGAGTGCTTAGAGGTAGTTTTGCAGCAGGGGAGTAGTACTCATGTCTCCTCCAGGCTGAAGTTCTGCACGCATCTCCTATGGCATGAGGCAGCTTTGCACACTGCTGTGCTTCAGCCCTTGACACCAACTGCATCAGAGCAATCACAAGGATCAGGAAAATCCAGCAAACAGAACCGTGTAGACCCGGACCCCTCTGGGTAGCTGGGAGAGCATCACTGCTCGTGCTGTTTTGTGCTCAGTGACAACTCCAGCAGCACCTGGGAGCCTGCAAGGGGCCGCACTGCAGCAGTCACACAGTGACTGCTTTGCAGGAAGCACTTCTTGCTCATTGCTTTCCTTTAAAGCCTCAGTAACAGCCCTGCACCTAACCCTTCCTACTCCTGCACCACCCTTAAGCAAACATATTTATAGCAGTGAGCAGCATTTATAGCTTTGCCCTGTCTTGACCTGGAAGTAATTGGTTAACTGTGCTAGACAACAAACCTTGAGACACTCACGTGTTTTCCTTCCACCTTCTCGCAGAGAACTGGAGGGTCATGCTGGTCAGAAACATCAAACACCTGGGAGAAAACAATGTGTGCTTCTCTGCCAGGAAATCAGTCCCAGTTGAACCCATTTCACGGCCAATAGTTCCTATAAAGCTCCTGGAGGCTTGGCTGGATGGCCAGAGCAGGGCTGGTGCTGGCCCTGAGGTAGGAGGGGACCTTTGTGCTGGGCTTTTCACGGGCAGCTGTAGGGTACATGAAATGCAGAACCCCTCTGTCTGCCCTGGACTGATCAGGCAGCCTGCCTGCCTTTGTGTTGTTCTTGCAGAGGTTATGACTTCGCTGGTTTGTTCTCCTATTTTCAGTGCCCCTCTGCACTGTCAGTGGCCTTGGAGGACAGTGCCAGCATGAACACACTCTTTTTCTGGGTGCAAAGATGGTGATGCCACTGACAGCAGTCTGTGTGCCTGTGCTTCACGCTTCACTTTTGACTCTGCCTACGTGTGATTTACTGGTGTCCTTTAACTTGTGGCTGTTGGGTGGAGAAATGCCCTGTAGTGCAGAAAGGCCGAGCACATGAAACAAACCCACCTCAGTAGTCTATTCCTCTCTAGGGGAGACCCCTGTGCAGTTGTGGGTGAGGCTCCAAAGCAACTCACGTTTGTTTCTGAGCTCTCTAAACCCAAAACCATACTAAATCTGTACAGTACATAAAACATGATCAGATCTCTGTGAACAGGAAGCAAAGAGGGTTTTTCCCATGCAGTTCTCCTTGCCAGCTTTCAAATATGCTTCAGCCTTATAGAAGTGAATTAAAAATCCCAGCTGCATCCTGCCTGTGCCCGGGGACTTGAGAGCAGCCTTGGGGGCTTCTGGCCTCCCCCCGTTAGTACTGCATTCCTGCAACCTCAGTGCAGAGAGCAGCTCCAACACAGGGAGCAGTGCAGCACTGGTCCCGAGGTACAGGTGGTGAGGTCTGAGGTGCTGCATTGGTGCTGTGGTTTGCAAGCAGCTGGGCGGCAATGCAGGCAGCAGCACTTCTCTCTGCAGTATTTGGAGTCATGCTGCAGGAGCGGCTAAGAGGATTAGGGATCTCTGATGGTGTTTGCAGCTGTGCTAGCTGTAAGCGAGGAGGAATCCAAATGCTTCATCTTGGGAAGTGAAGCTCTGGATCTGGAAGGGAATTCTCCCTCGGGACTTTGCAGCTGG